TGCCTTATCTTATAATCCTCTAGCTCTTTTAGCACTGAATTTAATTTATTACTGACAAGCAAATATTGTTCTTCAGATTGCTTTCGTTCTTTAAACAAATCTTCAATCCTTCGCTCTAAATCTTCCTGCTTTTTATCCCAATTTATATAAAAATTATATATCAGATCAACAATTAAATTTAATTGACTATTGTTAGAGTGCCAACTATGGTCTTCAATGTGATTTAATCTACACCTTATACTCAGATTATCTTTGGTAGTAATTATCTTTCCAATATTAGCTTCTGAATTTGATTTCTCTATGATGACTGGCTCTGATACCACACTTATGCTTCGGACAAAAAACACTGTTCAAAAACACTATTTATATACATATATATATAAATATACATATACATATATATATATATACATATATATATACATATATATACATATATATATACATATATATACATATATATATACATATATATATATATATATACATATATATATATATATATATATATATATATATTACTCGTAAATTAACGGACATGTTTTTTCTTTGATGTAATAACCATTGCCATTTTCTTCGTCGGCCACCGTCTTCCGAAAACACATTTTGCCATTCTGGTAGATGTTTGCACGCCGGAGATGGGGAGATGTGAAGTAATTATTTATTCTTTTCATATCATTTGATTCATTGTTAAATATACTTTCATGTACGCATATAGCCGATTTTTTTTAATCTAAACACATGCAGCCCTTTTATTACGTATTTGAGCACACCATATTTATAATTCCATTTCTAAGCATGTACATGTACAGGACCACGTCAATCCCTCGATCTAATGCCTAACAAAATAAATGTACCTTTTGCAACCTTGTTTCTAGCGATAACGTCCACAAGTTAGAAGCCTGGTAATGTAAACTCATTTATTTGTAAACTAGTAGCAATTTCTTAGGTCTATTAGCTTGCTATATTCAGTTTATACTTAAAAAATGTGTAACAATGATTTGTAAAATCAAAATAACATATTTTGAACCATACTTAATAAATATGTCAAACATTAATACAAAGTAACAAAACTCAATTCAATGGCCTATTAATTTGTTAGACATTATGTTATGGAACAACACTTGGACATTATGTTATGGAGCAATGTCTGCACTTGAGCATCTCGTCTATGGATTGAAATATGGGTTTGGCGTGCTTATATTTGGAATTAAACTGATGCATGTGCTTACATGTAAAAAATCGGGCACATATAGTTTTATATATTTCACAAAATTTTTTAAATAAGACGAACGGTCAAGCACGTACTATAAAGTCAACGGTGTCAAACATTTTAAAACGGAGGGAGTATATATATAGCAATTAGTGAATATAGCTTTACTAGTAAGCGAAACAATTCACTTTGGGCCTACTTGACTGTGATGTTGTTGACTTGGAACTTAATTGGAAGTCCTCATTAACGAGAGACAAAGTTACACGTGGGCTCAGACGTGCTGTGGATAAATCGCGCCGGGGAGTGTGTGCTGTGATTAGATGGAGAGCGGGGCGGAGGAAGGCGAGAAAGGGGATCACGTTCCGGGCCACACGTGGGCTCGTAATCCCGTTCTGGGCCGACAACTCCAGGCCCAACACGTTTGACGGCCGCGAAAGCATCGAATTTTTTTATTTATACATTTTTTTATTAAAATATTTAAAAAATAATTTTTTTTTCGAAAATTTACAAATCTAATCGCCTGCCGCCCTTTGGGAGATCGCCCTTCCAGAGGGCGGACCTAAATGCAAATTTTCCAACACAACTTGTTAGCACTATGATTTTACAATTTAAGATTATATTATATTAAGTCATATGAAATAAAACATTATATCAAAATTGTAGAGCTCAAGGAGATCTACAACTTTGTAGTTAACAACCTTTTCATTTAAGATATTTTAGATATCCAAATATTCGTTACAAAATATAAAACATATTTTAAAAAATCTCAGATCTACATTTCAAACGATATTGGATGGAAATAAACTTTATATAAAAGTTGTAGATCTTGATGAGATCTATAAATTTGTAGTTCATCACTTTTCCATTCAAAATTATTTGGAGTATCAAATAAGCATTATTAGTTTTTAAGCAATTAAAACCGGTGGAAAGAGTTTGAACACAAATAAAAATTTTGCATTTAGGTCCCTTGACGCTCTTTGGGAGGGCGATTTTAATATTTTAATAAAAAAATGTATAAATAAAAAAAATTCTGAAAGCATCTATGCACGCGCGCTGTGGTCGGCCTGCAATGCACGCAAGGCGTTCTCCCATGGTGGGTTGCAGCGCAGTTGAGACTGATCTCTTACAAAATGATTCGACCCACAAGCTTATCAAGGCATGGAGGAAAGGAGAAGGTCCACTTTGACTCTCTTTAGCAGCCCGAATCTAATTCGTACCTGTTAACAAAAAAAAATTGGGTAGGATGACTCCTGAAACTATTGAAACTGACTCTATCAGTGGTTTTGAATGATGGTTTTGCTGATGTGGCAGTGTTGATCTGGTCTTCGTCCCATGTGGCGTTGACGTGACGCTTATGTGACATTAGAATAAAAGGTATATATATGAGACTCATTCGTTATTCACAAAAAAAAAATATTGTGGAACCCACTGACGTGGCGCTTATGTCATGCTCTCTCTCCAACCCTTCTTCCCACTTCCTCTCTCTCCTTATTTCTCTTTCTCTTCCCCTTCAGCCGTCTATGAGGAGCGGGGGCTGCAGTGGTGGCGGTGGGCGGGAGGGCGAGGGTGCTGGAGCAGTCGCGCCAGCCGGCAGCGATGGGACGAAGATACCTTTTCTTTTACAAAGAAATTCAGCAAGCATGAACCAAATTGTGAGAGCTAGAAGCTCCGCCTGCTTCTCCAGTGCCCGCCATACCACCCGTCACCGCCACCGTTCCAACCCCGTTCCCCGTAGATGGCCAAGGGGAAGAGAAAGAGAGGAGGAGGAGGAAGAAGGGTTGGATAGAGGATGACATGTGGACCCAACATGTTAGTGAGTCCCATTGTAGTTTTTGTGTGAATGACAAATGGGTCCCACATACTTTTAATTTCTAATGTCACAAAAGTGCCACGTCAATGCCACGTGGGGCGAAGACCAAGTCAGCACCGCCACGTCAGCGAAACCACCCTCCAAGACCGTAAGAGAGTCAAATTACGTCGATTTAATAGTTTAGGGGAGTCGTCCTACCCAATTTATTTTAAGGGGTATAAATTAGATACGGTTTATTTTAAGAGAGTCGAAGTGGACTTTTTTCTTGATATGATCTCGTCTTTGCCGTGGACCTTCATCTACCCACCTATACTCATAAATCACCTGGGCTTGCAAGCTACTCCCTCCGTCCAAAAAAATACAAACCCTGGTTTCCGTGCCCAATGTTTGACCGTCCGTCTTATTTGAAAAAATTATGAAAAAAATTAAAAAGACAAGTCACGCATAAAATATTAATCATGTTTTATCATCTAACAACAATGAAAATACGAATTATAAAAAAATTTCATATAAGACGAACAGTCAAAGTTGGACACGGAAAGCTAGGGTTTGCATTTTTTTTGGGATGGAGAGAGTACTTGATTTGATATACCTGGCTCAACTCAATCGTGCTGGATATAATTTTTTCCCGGGCAAGTTACCTTATATTTATAACGCAGTAACTATTAAAAACACAGCTATGCATAGGAAATCTACTAGTTAGATATTTTCTTTCCTGCTTAATGAAGTGGCAGACCTCTGCTTCTTTAAAAAAACATTTTCTTTTACAGAAATATATATAAAGATCGAAAAGTGGCATTTCAAGTCACCAACATACTGATGCATTGTTTGTTTGGTTCATTGATTAGTGAAGGCTTGCAGCTGTGCAGCTGTGCGTGCAGGGCCGACGACGAGGGTATGCGAAGTGAGGGATCGAACAGGGTCGCTAAAAATTAGGAGCCGCAAATTTTTTATATTTTGATCTATGCCAACGTGTTTCAATTTATTTAAAATTCTCTCGCTCTATTTTTACAAAATTTTACTCTTTCTTATTTGTTGATTTTGTTAGAACAAGCTTATTTTTTTCAGCTACAATAAGTGTTCGATGGCAATCACGACCAATTCAAAGAGCCGATGATATGGACGTGTCTTCTGTGCATTAAAGATTCCATTCTTTTTTCTTAACAAAGATAAATCACTACATCATGATATAATATTTTTCTAATATTTATCTTAAAAATCTTCCGCTACTTGTTTCTTACGTATTTTTATGGACCTCAAATTATGTTTCACCGGGGCCTTAAATTTCTATATACGGTCCTGTGTACTGTGCGTGCAATGCTTTCAGCTTTCGTGCCGGTCAGACAAACATGACCAGGGTGTATACTGGTAGTCAGACATGAACAGTTGTTACTCTCTCCGTCCCATAATATATCAATCTAATATCTGATGCGACATTTCATAGTACAATAAATCTATATACCCTCCTGTTTAGATTCGTTGTACTATAAAATATTCTATCACCCTCCTGTTCAGATTCGTTGTACTATAAAATATTCTATCCGGTACTAGATTGCTATATTATGGGATGGAGAAAGTATATTGGATTACAGCCCCAAGCGGTAACAACAGTAGGCTGTCTAAATCGCGGCATTTCCTTTCAGCAAAAACAGGGTACTACTTATTATCTCGGAGAGACGGAGACTTGACCATCACTATCGGATCAATGAGCTCTGACGTGCTCATGCAGCACACACCACAGAAAATGCAACAGCCAAACAACACATGTGGCCAATTCTCACACATAACGATAACATCCCAATCACAACTTTATGATAAACGAAAGCTTCCATTCCATCCAGTTCACGGCAAAGAGATTACCCGGTCAGTCAAAGATAGCAGCTGCCTCCTGCCGCTATCCGCACTGACCTCTGGAGTCCACACATCCAGGCTTGCAGTGATCCGAATGCCACAGCAAAGAAGAGAAGAAATCAGGAATGGATTAAGTAGCATTTTTTTTCAGCAACCATTCAGTAGCACTTTCTAAAATACAACCTTTATCGGTTGTAAATCATAAATAAATAGTGTAAAATAAAATATATCACTGTTTACAGTTAATATTTCCAGCTTCAGCATTTTACCACCTACCTACAAGAGCTAGCTACTAGCTAGCTGATTTGGCATCAAAACATGCATAAGTTCACTCATCCTCCTCTAAGATTTCAGTTAGCCCAGAGGAGAATTGGTAAGAATCCATCATAGGTGACATGGACTCATCATCACAGAAGAATGGTCTTGGAGGCATCTGCAGGCCAACAACGCCACCTTCAAGCATCTCTATGACCTCGCTCATCGTCGGCCGATCGTGAGACTTCATCTGGATGCAATGTAGCCCGATTATGCACAGCTTCCTCTCAAGCTCATGCATGTTAGCAACAGTAGCAGCAGATATCTCACCAACACCCACCTGTTGCTCTATTAGCCGGTCATACACCCACGACGGGTAGTAGGCCTGACTTGAGTTCCCTGCATGCATGTCTGAGTTCCTTCTTCCTCCAGCCATCTCCAGCAGCAGCATTCCAAAGCTATAGACATCGGATTTGCTTGATATAACGCCAAAGCTCCGAGATATCATTTCAGGAGCAATATAACCTATTGTTCCCCTTAAGGCGTTGAGCGGCACAAAACTGTTGTCCCTTGGGTACAGTTTGGCGAGGCCGAAATCAGCAACCTTTGGAACAAAGTTGTCATCAAGAAGGATGTTGTGTGGCTTGATGTCAAAGTGCAGTATCTGCATATCGCAACCTTGATGAAGATAGTTGATCCCCCTAGCAATACCCAAAGCTATCTCATTGAGTTTGTCCCATGAGAAACTTCTCTTGGATGAGAAAATGTACTTGTCTAGAGATCCTCGTGGCATGTACTCGTACACAAGTGCCCTCCTCAGTTCCTCTGAACAAAAACCAACAAGACGAACTACATTGACGTGGTGGATCCTACCAATGGTGGAGACCTCACTGATGAACTCTTCACCGTTGCAGTTGGCATTTTCCAGCACCTTGACAGCCACATTAACATAACCTGGGAGAACACCTTTGTATACCGAGCCGTAGCCTCCTTGGCCAAGCTTCTCACCGAAGTGACCTGTAATTGCAGTGAGGTCAGTGTAGGCATACCTTGTTGGGCCGAGAGTTAGTTGCATCTGGAGGAACTTCTCTACTGCATCAATTGTTATCTTATTTCTCCAATACTTGTGGGCAAGGAAGATGAATACTGCTAATGGGGCCAATACGAATCTGCACAGTACTGCATAAGAGCAATTTACCATAAAACAATTATGGATTAACCTAGCAAGAATGTAGTAAGACAATACACTCTGCGTCTACAATGAGGTATAATGTAATGACTCTAAATTACCAGCAGTCCACTTCAAAATCAGTAGGGCTGTGTCGACCACCATGTACGTGTAGATGAGGTTATTATGTGATCTATCTCCAAGCAGGAAGCACGACCAGAAATAGAAGTCAATGATAGCAATATTCGCAATCCTTTCCTTGCTCCCTGTACCTGTCTGGCTACAAGACCATGGGGTAAAGAAATGAGTAAGACATGGCTAATCGTATTTGAGGGCTTGTTTGGATTGGATTACAGCCATCGTTAACCTTAGCAAAATATTATGTGGGAGAGTGAAACTACATTATTTGACAGATTAACTCACCGGATTGACAGTGCCAGGCATTCTTTGAAGTTCCACCCACTAACTGTGAAAGGAAATCGAACGGCAAATCCAGTCATCATTAGCTTTACAACATCCTGATAGCTTACATTCTGCAGCGCCGACGTGCTGTTCAACTTGCTGCCACCCAAAGGAGTCGTGGCCAGGTACCCACAGGAAGGCTCAAGGTTCTGAATATAAGCAGATTGTTGGCCAGTAAACACGTAAACGAAGGATCTGCTGGTGCTCAGGCAAGCGACGGGCATGTACATCCAACTGCTGTTCCTTATTTCCTGCGAACAATTGACAAAGCTAGCCCAGGTAACCCCTACTGGAGGTGCCAATTCAATGATGTGGTGTGACTTGGCCTGGAGCCTGGGATCACGAAGAAGGGGGTTCCAGCGAGGAAGAAGGCAACTGCTACGTGAATCCAAGAAGCTGGCATCGACGACCCACAAGGTAGAATCACCATAGTTGATGTCACTTACAGAGTATGTCTCCTTGTCGATCTGAATTGTAGCCTTGTCGTCTGCACAAGTTAGCTCGTAGGATTGAACACCGCACTCCGGCGGGTCACCTCGCCGGCGGAACGGGAACGACACGTCACTGAGATGGCCGCATGTGAACGGAGGGCAGTCATGGCGCCGATGATGCCGCCGGCCACCTGCAGCATCTGGAACGAGAACCCCAAGCACACACAAGACATAAATTACTCGCATGACAGTAGAGCAATGCAGAGCACCATGAATCGCAATTGCCAGGTTCAAAGAAAAGCGCACAGGTCAGAACAAGATGGACGAACGACATGGTTGATATTGCAAGCGCTTCCGTGTTCCAGTTGAATAAGCAAAAAGAAAAAAAAATAATATCCGAATACCTGAGCAATGACGTGTTTAGCTAATCAGGGCTGCCTGCCCTTGACTGTGATGCTGTTGACTGAGAGTCTGAGACAGATTCGTTCGTTTAGGATAGCTTAACAGACATGTCCATATATTCTCCCTTCATCATCACTTCCGAATACCTGAACAAGTTTTGCTGCACCTCGTTGGTCTGGGAAGTGGGACTGAATGGTACTCTTCTGTCTTCTTCTGTCTCATCAACAGCATCTCAGTCAAGATCAGGCAATGCAGCCGCTGGAAGTTACACCGAAAGCTGCAATTACCTGCCAACAAACCTTTAAAAAAAGATTATCACCAGTCTCTCCTTTACCACCATAAAGCTTCACCATGTCAACTTCACGAGTTGATTTCAACATCACCAAAAGAAAAAAAAAAGTCTCATGTACTAGCTTTAGATGTTATCAAGGTTATTGGAATAGTAGCCGGAATAAATCGGTAGTGTAAAATCAAGGGCATGGGGGAGCCAAAAATGATAAGGAATACCTTTTGAAGAAATAGAACACGTCAAAAGTTTCATTGGCTCTGCTCAGAGCCTCAGACATCATAGCAAGCACAGCATCAATCGTCACCGAGAAAACAGGTGACCAAATATTTCTAAAGCACAGCCCTCTCATCATCCACCTCCATCTCATCTCCATTGAACTGCATGGACTTCACCAACCTTCTTATCACGGTGCTCCTCCTACTCTCTCCTCTCAAATACGAATCCGATGTTGCCACAGCAAGTGATGATGAAGACTTCTTCAAGACTTGTTCATCCCAGCGGTGCAGCAAGCATGGACCAGAGATCAGGTACCCGTTCCGTCTTTCGACACAACCTCCATCATGCGGTGCACCTGGTATGCAATTATCATGCTCTGGACAAGACACCATCCTGGATCACCCTGTTCTTGGTTCCTGCAAAGTGACCATGATATATTACAGGCATGTTATCATGAACGCCATTCCACTTGTAGATTCCTTACCTCACTGCCCACTTCAGAAGCTCGTGTCAGTAAATCAATCAACTGCTGTGTACAAACCTCATACGTCGGAAGTTGCAAGTGTAGTAGGTTGTTCAAGAGATTCCATAGACACAAACCAATATGGTATAGTTGGCCCAACCTCTTGCCCCAGCCTCGCTAACAACGCAAGCCAGTTCTGGTATTTGGCATATCCCTATACATACATGTCTATTCTTCCATTGGGCTGCACAATTGTTTCCAAAGACATCCCAATGCCCTACAGTTACGATAAAAATGGTCCAAACTTTGACATCTCAATCTTCACCGAAACAGCAAAAAGAGTCATCAGCACTGGTGAGACTGTATTCACTTGGTACACAAGTAACGTTACTAGTATTTGCCAACAATGTGAACGTGAAGGTCGGCGTTGTGGCTTTAGCTCTCAAAGGAATCAAGCATTCTGCCAGCATCATAGTATGTCTCTTTCTCAAGTATAAATTCAGTTTCATTATGATGACTTGTTTTAGTTTGAATTTTCACTTCTCTATCTATTACATCTCTTATTTCTCGAGTATTCAGTTTTCAAACTATCCAGGATATTTTTCACAAATAGTCAAACTATCTAGCAAACTGTGAATCAGCCAAAGGCTAGCTTGGATGAACATTTTGGTTCTAGGTTCACAACTGCAATTTTTCTCAAAGAAAATTTCATCAAGAGATGATAATGTCTGATCATTATGAAAATCAATATTTTTTTTTGTAAAATTCTCATAGAAAAGGTTATAAGCAATGGCAGCACATTTTAGCAGATAGCAATGATCTAAAGAGCAAGCTTTATTTGTATTACTCTAGACATTGGTATTAACTTAGAACACTAAATTGGATTCATATGGTTCAAATTTACTAGTTTGGAATACTGTAATAGCTACTTGAACATTAAAGTTATATGCAAATGGCACAATTTTACTAGTTTGGATTACTGTGGGAGGTACTACGGTGAGAGTAGTCACCATCTCAATTAGACCTTTTGGTGCTAGAGATGCACTTGATAGTGCAGTGGCAAGGGGTGTGTGGTTTTAACCCCGAGGTCCCGTGTTCAATCCCTAACACGCTCACAATTTCTTCTTAAAAAATGGTTGGAGGGACATCTCTCCCTCCAAATCTCCTATTTTTTTAGACCTTTTGGTGGTAAGACCATAGTCCTGATTGTTAGAAAGTTGCACCCATCGAGTAATCAAGAATGTACCAGTATAATTTACAGCATTAACAAGTTCCCACAGTGTTAACAGGGTAGAAACCAGAACATATCCATCTTACACAACGTTGGTACGAAAGTTGTGCACATGCATATTTCCAGCGATGCTCTGTAAGATTATTGAATCAGGTAATTTCTTCCTCCTAGGCACTATAGATAAAAACGTCTTACTTCTATGGTTAAGACAAGAAGCCTCCTTATCCTATTTCTATATGACAATGCCAAATAAACAAGCCATCTAACAATCAGGAACTAATTGTTTCTAGGAAAAATTATAGGTGTTTCTCTCAATTTATTTCATCCATAAATCATGTCATAACTAATAATCTTTCTTCATATGTCCAGGTCCGCGTGTCACAATCATTGCAGGTAAGCAACTAATTTTTTTCTTCATTCTTCCTGAACTGCTCATTCTGTAGAATCATTGCCTTTTCTCCAAGTGCAACTAGCTAAATTTCTCTCTTTTTTTACTCAGCAACATCATCTGTGGGCACATTTATAGTTCTTTCATTAATTGTGGCCACTGCACTCTACATCTCCTTGAAGTCAAGGTACAATGAAGAGATACATTTGAAAGTCGAAATGTTTCTGAAGACATATGGCACATCAAAACCCACAAGGTACACATTCTCCGAAGTTAAGAAGATAGCGAGGCGATTCAAGGACAAATTGGGCCATGGTGCATTTGGAACTGTATATAAAGGTGAGCTACCGAATGGAGTTCCTGTGGCTGTTAAGATGCTAGAAAACTCTGTAGGAGAGGGACAAGAGTTCATCAATGAAGTCGCAACCATTGGGCGAATTCATCATGCAAACATTGTCCGCCTCCTAGGCTTTTGCTCTGAAGGAACACGACGGGCTTTAATATATGAACTCATGCCCAATGAATCATTGGAGAAATATATATTCCCACATGGTTCTAATATTTCAAGAGAACTCCTAGTACCAGACAAAATGCTAGATATTGCATTAGGCATAGCCCGAGGAATGGAGTACCTGCACCAAGGGTGCAATCAGCGCATTCTCCATTTTGACATCAAGCCTCACAACATACTGTTGGACTACAGCTTCAATCCAAAGATTTCAGACTTTGGGCTTGCCAAGCTATGTGCAAGAGATCAAAGCATTGTCACATTGACTGCAGCAAGAGGCACAATGGGCTATATTGCACCAGAACTATATTCTCGGAATTTTGGAGCAATTTCATATAAGTCGGATGTCTACAGCTTTGGCATGCTGGTGTTAGAAATGGTGAGTGGGAGGAGGAACACAGACCCAACCGTCGAGAGCCAAAATGAGTTCTACTTTCCTGAGTGGATATATGAGAGAGTTATCAATGGGCAGGACCTGGTGCTTACCATGGAGACAACACAAGGAGAGAAAGAAATGGTGAGACAGCTAGCAATTGTAGCCCTATGGTGCATTCAGTGGAACCCAAAAGACCGGCCCTCAATGACAAAGGTGGTAAACATGTTGACGGGGAGGTTGCAGAATCTGCAGGTGCCCCCTAAGCCCTTTATATCGTCTCAAAATCAACTTGTGATTTAGATCATGAGACCGCATCGCCATGGTTTGGACTTTGGAGACCAGCAAAGCAATGGAGCTTGGCCAGCATTTCCTATAAAATGGCATCACCATGGTTTTGTGCCTGAGTGACAGATAATCCACATATCATAAAATAGTTCTTAGTGAGCTGAAGCATGCACATATAGTGTTTAATTATTAAACTAAACTGCGCAACCAGGTATATGATATATCACCATGTACTCATGTAATTCTGATATCCAGCAAACATATGCCAATGGATTTTATTTGCAATATAATAATAGTTGATGACAACTAAATTACCTTATTCCATCGTTGCTGCTAGTCCACAAATCATCCTTGCTGAACGCCACAATAAAGTTGTGGTATTTGCTCTCCATTCCCTTCAACACAAGAGATCGATCCCGCAGCGTGTCATATTTACTCCCAGTGCTGCATTTTCTTTTCAAGAGTAAAAAAAAAAGTGCTGCATCATCCAGAAGAGGAAAAAAAATTAAAAATAACAAGGGAAGAAAGCTAAGCAAAGGGATTATTACCAATGCAGCGAGGCTCAGGATGGAAATTGACTAATAATGTGGGAAACGGAGGTGGTGTGAGGGACTTGAGAAGACGATACCATTGAAGACATCGGGCTTATAGATTCGACCGGATCTTGACACGGTAGCAATAACAGATGGCGTCATGGCGGCGGTATGGGCGACGCCGAGGCTTGGTCTCGCATATACCGGGAGCAAACGGCACCTTACCCATCTGTCGACGGAGGCGAGAAGCGGCGGCGGAGGCAGACCGCCGCATTAACTGGAGCTCTCGCCGGGAAGAGTGGTGGGGGACGGAGGAAGGAGAAGGGAGTAATTTTTTTTTTCTTTTTTGAGAGAGAGAGAGATGGAGAAGGGGATGATGATTGCTGGTCCACAGGTTAGGATGGCCCATCTAAGGCCTTGCTTCGATGGCCCAACTAATCCCCGCGGCCGGACGGTTCACATGTGGCCCAATTCACGAGCAAATATAATGCTCAACTCACCAGCAGCTAGTACAAGAACACTTGCTTATTTATAGTAGTATTTCATACACCGAAAAAAGAGTTTAAGCGTAGTAAATATCAATTGTTGGATCCATGAATATGGAATAATAACAGCCATTATTTATGAACGCTAATTGCTAGCTAGATCCATCATTGTCATCACAGCCTAGCTACTGGCTAATTCAGCTATTCCATCGTCCTCTTCTGAGATTGCAGTAAGCTCGGAGGAGTGAAAGTAAGAATCCATGACTTGTGGAGGTGGCATGCCATTGCCAATGCCATCCCCATCGCAGAAAAATGGTCTCAGAGGCACTTGCAACGCATCCACATCCCCTTCGAGCATCTCTATTGCCTCGCTCATCGTCGGGCGATCGTGTGATTTCATCTGAATGCACCACAGCCCAACAAGGCATAGCTTCCTCTCCAGCTCATGCATGTCAGCAACATTGGATATCTCATCAACTTGTTGATCTGCTATCAGTTGGTCATACACCCATGCTGGGTAGTATGCCCTGCTTGCATTTGAGTTTGCATTTGGATCTGCATTCCTTCTACCTCCAGCCATCTCAAGCAACAACATTCCAAAGCTATAAACATCGGATTTGTCGGATATAACGCCAAAGCTCCGGGATACCATCTCAGGAGCCATATAACCTACTGTTCCCCGTAAAGCCCTATCTGACACAAAGCTCTTCTCCCTTGGGTACAGTTTTGCGAGGCCGAAATCAGCAACCTTTGAAACAAAGTTATCATCAAGAAGGATGTTGTCTGGCTTGATATCAAAGTGTAGAATCTGCATCTCGCACCCCTGATGCAGGTAGTTGATCCCTCTAGCAATGCCTAGAGCAATCTCATTGAGCTTGTCCCAAGAGAAGCTTCTCTCGGATGAGAAGATATACTTGTTTAGAGATCCTCTAGGCATGTATTCGTAAACCAATGCCCTTCTCATTTCTTCGGAGCAGAACCCCACAAGACGCACCACGTTGATGTGATGGATCCTGCCTATGGTGGCAACTTCACTGATGAAGTCTTCTCCATTGCAATTGGAGTTGCCATCCAACATCTTGATGGCGACATGAACATCACCCGGGAGAAACACACCCTTGTACACAGACCCATATCCTCCTTGGCCTTGCGAGTAAGAAAAATCATCACGGCCAACGGTGCGAACACAAACCTGCATAGCACTGCATACGAAAAGGCTAATGAATTTTGCAATGCAATATGTGGTGTGACCAGCTTGATAGTGTATACTGTAGAATTGAGTGGAATGCAAAAGTTAATTAATTACCAGCAATCCACTTGACAAGACACAAGGTGTATAGTATGAAGAGCTTATGGTAAAGAGAATGATCAACGCCGCGGATCATGTCGCTAATGGAAAGACGCATGTCGATGTAATACTCTCTGGATAAGCCTATCATGCATCCCCAGAAACGGAGGTCAATAGAAAGGATGTCAATGATCCGGTCTTTGATGCCTACTCTGGGTAATGGATTGTCATGGCTATCAGCTAAGCTGCAAGATCATTTATTGGAAAGAGTTAATTAAACGGGATTGGAGGAGAAGAGCTAAACAAAATCGGCCCTTTTCAGATGATAAAGTAAAGGTTTCGAGATTATAAGGAATTAGAGCCTCACTCCGGTGCTTTCTACTTATAGTAGAAAATAATCCGAGCCGTTGATCGTATATAATCATAGGGTTGAGATCTAATTCTACTACCACCACTCTTAGTGGTAGTAGAAACGTGGAGGGGTATATTTGTCCATAGATAATAATTCATGTAAGGGTATTATCGTAAATTATTATTCAGTAACTCTAAACCTTCGCCATTCTCAAGCGCCTGACCCCATCCATCGTCGACTTCGTCGCTTGTCCATCTCCCTCTCCGCCTCCATCATCTCCAGCGCGATCGACATCTCCTCCCCCTCCAGCGACCAAGGGTGGCCCTTCTCCTCTTCGCCAAGCCGCTGAAGGTCCTTGCCCACGGCGGACGACTAGTCCTGCCATGTAGCTTTGACCAAGACAGAGGAGATCGCGGGGCAATTGGACGGCGGACGAAGTTCGACGGGTTCCGGCGAACGGCGGCGAGGTAGGAGGAATGGGCAACTGGGAATGAACGAGTGTAGTATGGGGATGTGGTGGACGGCTCGGATTGGCCAAGAAATGAGCTATGGCAGCCGGCGACGTGCGGTGGCGGAGCTCGAGTGAGGCGGTGGCATTTGGTCGCCGCCGGTGACCGTACGAGCGGCTAAGGGACTTGGGAATGAGGTGTTTGGATGCTACATGAATAGGGACTGTGCATCACTTCACAAGCTGCCGCGGAGCTAATGCAAATGCTTTTGCATAAACACGACAGTATACCAGGGAGTTTGCAGCAAAGAGTGAATCAAGATGTTCTAAGCCCCCATTAGTAGACATTGTCCTATGACTGAAAAAAAAATCAATTTAGTGGCAATTGAGGGCTTAGCTACCCCCATATGAGCACAAGAAAGGAATCATGTAGCGATGATTCAGAGCGCCAGAATATGACAGAATGCAGTTAGATGTTTCGATGGTATGAAATATAAAACAAATCCTGAATTACAGCTCTGACTGAAATGCAATTTACATATGGGCAAAACTCTGATAGTGAAAAATCTCATTTAAGCAGTTTATCAGATTTTTTCAGTCTCACTCTTTCAGGAGCAAAACAACTTGTTTACTGATCCAGGAGCAGGATGACATATTTCAGTTCAAATTGCCTGGACTCATCTCACCCCATCACAGTTGCACACAAAAAAAATGCACAACACACTGACATGGTCAACACATTGACATTACTAGTAGTCCATCACTATTCACCTTTTCTTTTTTACTTAAACCATTACTGAACAATGAATATATTGGGACAGTCACAAGATCCAATAAACATCAGTATCTCAAAGCTCGTCAATTAGTCAATGAAGTATTCGACACACCATACAACTGAATATTACAAGCAGAATGAACTGGGCAGGCCTTCTTGTTGTCACGGAGCCACTTCGCGATGTTGCAATCCTCGTGGAAGTCATGCCCGCAGGAGAGCGTGCGGACAGTCGCCGGCCACCATCCTGAGCTAGCAGATCGGGCATGCCGCATGCATCGTTCAGCGTCCGATCCAGTGTCCTGACGCCGCCGCGAGCACGGATGTGCTGAAACCTCTGAGCATTGCGGTCTATCAGGTTCGCCGGCGACGCCTTCCACGGCAGCACGCAGCGAGCGACACTGTTGCATATTCTGCATCTCATGCCGTGCTCGCGGTCGAGGAGGTGCTCGCCGATGCAAGCCACAAGACTCGGGCACGCACGGAGGGGGACCGGGGATACGGCGCCGGAATGTATCGCATCTGCCTCCCAAGTGGCCGCAGCCCACACAATCGGAGCAACACGGAATGGAGATCACTACCCGCCGGCGGAATGGATTGAATCCTCCAAAGTGGGCGCTGCCAAGAATCTCAGGTCTTGCGCAGGGGCTCCGGCGGAATCGGACGCGCGCGGAAGGCCACTCGCAGCGGACAGAAGGCCACGACGGCGAACCAGGATGCCGGCGTGGAATATAGGAGAGGAGGAGAAACGGATAGACAGGTGAGAGGTGGGAGGAGGGGACGCCTGAGGGTTTCGCTGCACCGCGCCACGGCATGCCGGGAGGAGTAGCGATAAGCAACGTGCGTCGGGCGAGATGCAGTGCTTTTCGTCGGACCTGATGCGATCAAGCTAAGACCGACCGAGACAGAGAAAATAGATCCTGCCAAAATTGCCCCTAATATATATTAGGAGATTACTAATCTACCCTTTAAAATGAACGGTCGAGATTAATTCTACTTGTAGTATAATACTCCAAGTAGAAAGCATCGGAGCATTGCTCAAGGAATTAAGGCGCTCACCTAACAGACTTGTTGAGGCATTTTTTGATGAGACCAAACCAATTAAGCCAAGGTGTTGGAAATTTGACGGCAAATCCACCCCTCATGGATTTTACAACCTCTGCATAACTAGTGTATTCGGGCAGATTAACGGAGTTCCAGCCACCGCCGATAGGAGTCATGGCCAAGTATCCACAAGAAGGTTCGATGTCTTCGACAGATGGTACTAAAGAACCAAAAAATGGGAGCATATAATAAACGAAGGACAAAGCCGTGGTCAGGCAATCCACGGGATGGTACACGTACAGGTATTTGCTACTACTGTTCGTAATTAGTTCCTGCGAACAATTGACAAAGCCAACCCAAGTAATCATATCATCAAGGCCCAAGTCCCAGCTGTCGTGTGATCCTGGGATACCCAGACCAACGTAAGGCAGCTGGTCCGAGCGAGGAAGAGGGCAGCTGCTGTTTGCATCATCCTGCAGGTTGGCGTCGACGACCCAAAAGATGGAAGCAGTGTAGTTGATGCTACTCACATAGTATTTCCCTGTGTTGATCCGAATGGTGGCCTTGCCATCATCGCTGCTGCAGTCTAGCTCGTACGACCGGAAGCCGCACCTGCGACTGCGAGGGTCGCCTCGCCGGCGAAAAGGATACGATACGTTTTGGAGATGGCCGCAGGAGAAAGGTTGGCACTGATGCCGTCGTCCTTGGACACGGACGACGTGATGATCAGCATCCGCTACCACAAGTGCGAGCACATACAGGACGGTCGACAAAGCAGCTGCTTCCATTGCATTTGCATACCCTGTATATACTAATATAGTGTAGGCTACCAAGCTAGCTACTTGTTGCTCGCTCGGCCGGCTCCTACTTATAAGTACTACGACGTACGCTACCCGGCCAGGGTTTTCAATTTCGAAATTCAATTTTATGCCGGAGGTTACCGAAATTACCAAAATTTCGGAAATTTCTGACCGAAATTATTTGAAAATTTGACTGAATTTGAATAAAATTTGACCAAATTCACATAAAAATGTAAAAAACTGAAAATTTCGGGCGAGATTTAAGCATGCCGGTGAGGGCAAAATTTCTGACCGAAATTTCGAACCGAAATTTCAAATCCTGACGCTACCAAGGAGGGGAAAAGAGAAAATTGAGTATCCGTAAAACGAGCTTAGCATGGTTTTTAATTGGATATTAATTGAGTATACGTAAAAATAGAAATTAGCGCATAATTAATTGTTTTAAATTTAGAAAATAGATTAACATGGTTTTTAAAAAGCAACTTTTAGGTATATATATATTTTAAAAAAATACTCCCTCCATCTATTTTGATAGTTATATTTCATCTTGGCAGGATACATAATTCTACTTATCATCCATTTAAACATGCTACTAGTCATTCCTCGTAAACAATCGATTCTTTAATATTTACATTTCTCGATGCCCATGTAGCTAATTTTGTATGGAAGAATAGAGAGTCGTGCATTAAATCCGAGAAAGTCATTAAGAGAATATGTTGTTGGATTGAAATATGCCTATCAAAAATAAATTTTTCAGATTTGAAAACATGACTATCAAAAGTAGATGGAGGGAGTACAACTGTTAGTAGTATGTAAACATGCACATGAAAAAATGAGTAGTTTTTTCATTCTTTCAGCTCGGCCGAACCTTTGAAGTTCGAATTTATATTAGGTAGATCTTATGCTATAGGTCGTATCCATTACATTCTACCTCCATCCCAAAATATTGCTATCTAGCATGAGATTTGACCTATGTCCAGATTCGTTGTCTAGGATGGGTCAAATCTCATCCTATGTAGCAATATTTTGGGACGGAGTAAGTATTTGTTATTTATATTAAGTTGACCTTACGCAACCATCGAACTCATTTGATGAAAGAAAAGGCAGTAAATTAAGCACCGAACTGGACGGCCTCGTCCAGTCCAGATCAAGTGGCCAGAGACAAAACTCTCGGCTCGCAGTGCTGAAAGCAGTAACTAAACAGGCTACTCGGTAGTAGAATATACTACCTTTCCATTTTTCTTATGATGTTGATTTTTCGTATAATGTTTGATTATTTGTTTTATTAAAAAATAGTATAGATATGTAAAAGTTTGATGATAAAATCCAGTCATAAAAAAATAAATAATACTTAGTATATATTTTTTACTGAATTGAATGGCCAAACGTTACGTCAAAAACTAATGGCGTCCGCTGTAAAAAATAAACATACATGCGTGTTGCAAACTTCTGACTGTAGTACTGTACGACAACAAAGCTCAACTTTTGACTGTACTTGTATGACAACAAAGCTCGCGCGTGAATTAGCATTTCTGCGTGCACCAGGCCTAATTTCCACACGGGAATTAACCTTTACTAACCGGTTTCTATGTTAATCGCTCATGAGATTGGGCATGAGTCATGAGTGGACTGGAGCAAGTCTACGATGCTCCAGGTCAGTCCTGGCCGGCAAGATTTTCCAAAGTACCCACTCCGTTTCATTTTTTTTAGATAATGGACCCACTCCGTTTCATAGTTTTTGACTTCTTTTACTGGTTAAACTCTAATCAAATTTATAGGAAAATACGATAATATTTTTAATACAAAATAAATATATTATTAAACTATATTAAATATTAGTTGTAATGAAACTAATTTGGTGTTTTAGAATTTAGATATTGCTAAATTTTTCTTTAAATTTAATCAAACTTAGAAATGTTTGACTAGAAAAAAAAAAGTCAAATTGACTTATAATATGAAAAAAATGACTTGTAACATGAAACACGGGGAGAACATACAGCGCATTGTTGCTTACAATGAAGCGCACAGTTGCAATATCCTGATCCCACATATATATATCCACACCTCCACTTCATGTACATATATGGAATACCTACAGAGTACAGACTACAGTTATCTCTTTTTTTTTTCAAGGGAACATACTACAGTTATCACACACACAATTGCTTTTGCACCTAGAGTCAGAGATCAATATGAGTAGCAAATTCCTCGCCATATATCTCCTGCTTGCTTTCCTCAGCCATGGCACCTGCAGCTACATGGCCACCACAGCTTCAGGCTGGGATGACCACGACTTCTTCAGGCATTGTCCACCGTCCCGGTGCAGCAAGGATGGACCAGAGATCCGTTTCCCTCACCGGCTTGAATCCAGCAATACATCATCAGCATGCCGCGCTTCATGCGCGAGGCTAGCATGCTCTGGCCAAGACACCATCCTACATCACCCAATTCTGGGGCCTTGCAAGGTCACCTCCATAGATTACAAGGAGGCCGTCATCAACATCATCCATCTCCTTCCGTTTCCATGCCCTCTCCAGAAGCTCATGGTCGACAGTTTACCGCCTGATGACTACCATGGCTGTAACTTATACAGGAGGATTCCTGCAAAAATAGTAAGCTGCTCAAAAGAGTTTACACCAAGTGGTACCTCTCCAGTTCCGTACGAACTTGACCATCTCCAGAATGCTGCCGAAAATATCTTCGGCCCAATATCCTGCCTTAGCGGCACAGGACAGTACTTCTCATATTTGGTGCATGCTCAGCTATACATGTATTTGCTTCCATTGGATTGCAGGATCGTCTCCAGAGGCTCCATTCCAATTCCTGGCTCAGACTCCTGCAGTGGCCCAACGTTCAAGGAAAAAGCAGAAAAATTCATCAACTTTGCTGAGACGACTGTCAGTTGGGGGTCCTTTCAAGATGGAGTTCTCGACAACTGCATGGCGTGTGAACGTCAAAAGCAACTCTGTGCATTCAGCTCACGAAGGAATCAAACATTCTGCACAAGCCACGGCAATCATCATGGTACTAACTATCCTAACTGCACAAACATGATCGTACCACCCAGCTTTGTTCCTGAACTAGTTTTCTACTCTTACTATGATTCAAGCATTCAGCCATACAGTACTAGTGCACCGCTCTCAATACATATGCTCAAAACTATTTTTGCAGGCTAGTAGCCTACTACTAGAAATCATTTAGGGAACTAACTAGCTTCATCAAACATTTTTGCACAATTGCCATAAAAGTGTCACAATATTTAGTAAAATAATGATAGAATTATCTTGATCAACTAGCAGCAGTTGGACGATACATGACATTAAAGATCATAAAACCTGGGACTTCTCAAAGATATTTGCTAGAATTGATATTGTCTATGAACTTATTGAGACTGCCTCTATAAGACTTCCTTATGGTTTCCTCTAGAAGTAGAAAGTAGCTCGAATATGTAAACAAGACTGCAAGGGAACACTTGACTGGGACAAGATATAATCTAAGTTTTTTTTTATTTTTTTGCCAGGTCGGCGAAAGGAAGCCGACCAAAATTCATTAAGATAAAGGAATAATTACAGAGGTATACACGATATAATCTAAGTTTTGGTTTGTTACCTGATATAACAGGAGCTGCAGTTAGATCTTTGGTTGCTTTGATAATAGATTAGTAGACATGGGAGGTGATATGTGGAAGCCTTTATAATTTAGCCCATAACCCACCTCAACTCATCCTAATCATCCTTATCTGGCATGACAAAAATACGAGAGTTAGCACACAGAACTGTCTTATGATGATACTGCAAAATAAGATGTAAGGAAAATTTCACTATTGCAAATATATTCATATGATCATGGTGCATAAAAATTTAGAGCCAAAACTCTATCCTACCCCACCAGGGCCATGTTCGCTGATACATTTTGTTGGATTGCTCTGTTTTTATTTTCAAGATGTAATTATCCATTATCTGTTAAAACCACCAACCAGAACTTATTATCTTCGTTCATACTTGCAGGTTAGCGTGTGAAAGTCATTTCAGGTACTGCAGTACTCAAACCTACCTTTCTATTAAAAAGAGAAAAGAAACAATGTTATCAGTACATATAAATTCTTATTGCTAGCAGTTCTGAGTCTTCTGACTCAGCATTCTTCTGCTAAAAAAGACACCACCTGCTCTTACAGTACCCATCAGGCAATCACAATCAGTTGATTACTAGCCACAACTTTCGATCCTAATGCAATGTGCTAATTTCCCCTTCTCTGTTAATTCAGCTACATCATCGGTAGCCGCATTTGTTGTTTTTTCGTTCATCATGGCCACAGCACTCTATCTTTCACTGAAGTCAAGGTATGATGAAGAGGTACATTTGAAGGTTGAAATGTTCCTCAGGACATATGGCACATCGAAGCCCACAAGGTACAGTTTCTCTGATGTTAAGAAGATAACGAGACGCTTCAAGGAACAATTAGGTCAGGGTGGATTTGGAAGTGTATACAAAGGACGACTACCAAACGGAGTGCCTGTGGCAGTTAAAATGATAGAACACTCTACAGGAAATGGAGAAGAGTTCATCAATGAAGTAGCAACAATTGGACAAATTCATCATATAAACATTGCCCGCCTTCTGGGATTCTGCTCTGAAGGAACACGGCACATTCTTATCTATGAATTCATGCCTAATGAATCATTGGAGAAATGCATATTCTTGCATGACCCTAATACTTCTCAAGAACTCCTAGCACCAAAAAAGATGTTAGATGTTGCCTTAGGCATTGCCCGAGGAATGGAGTATCTTCATCAAGGATGCAACCAACGCATCCTCCATTTTGATATCAAGCCTAATAATATATTGCTTGACTATAACTTCAATCCGAAGATTTCAGACTTTGGTCTTGCAAAGCTGTGTGCAAGGGACCAAAGCATTGTTACCTTGACCAAAGCAAGAGGCACGATGGGCTACATTGCACCAGAGCTATATTCTAGGAACTTTGGGGAGATATCTTACAAGTCAGATGTATATAGTTTTGGCATGCTTGTGTTAGAAATGGTGAGTGGAAGGAGAAACTCAGACCCGAGTATTGAGAACCAAAATGAGGTCTACTTTCCAGAGTGGATCTATGAGAAAGTAATTACTGAGCAGGACTTTGTACTTAGTAGGGAAATGACAGAAGAAGTAGACTGAAGGTTAGACAGATGGCCCTCGTGGCACTGTGGTGCATTCAGTGGAACCCAAGAAACCGTCCCACAATGACGAAGGTTGTAAACATGCTAACTGGAAGGTTGCAGAATATAGAGGTGCCCCCTAAGCCATTTGTTTCATATGAAAGCCATGTTGTGCCATAAATCATAGTAATGTTATGGGAGTTATACTTAGTTGACGTGCTGCATAGTAATGCTGATTAACTGTATGAAGTATGAATCGTCGCTCTTTATTACCATGTATTAAAAGTAATAAGAAACACATCAGTTGATGTGATTACCTTGTTCAGTTGTTGCGATGTATATCTCCATCCAACCACGGTGTGCAGAGTACTCCTCGCTGTACTATTTCAGTAAGATGCCGTCCTCGTCCGTTTCATGGGTCCATATCTAGTGGCTTGCAAGAAAATCCTGCAAGGAAATTGAATTATGGCAATTTTTCCCATGCAGCACAAATATAAAATATCGAAGCAAAGAGTATTATTTTTGTCTGTTTGTCCGTGCGAACGGCCGACTAGGGTAACATTCATACCCTGAATTCGTCACTGAATAAAGAAGTAGATTCATATCCTAAATTCCTCACTGAACTAAGAAGTATAATAAGTTAAGTTGGCTTGGTCACATTCCTATCCATCCCATTCAAAAAGTCAGGGCCCGCCTATCTATCTGATGGAAATCTCACAGCAAACAGGATGCTGCTGGGCAAGCAATCGAGGAGCTACGAATTTGCAATGTGAAGAGATGAATGGGCATGGACTCGACTAGTGAATAAGTACACTTTAATAAAAACTTAGGAAAAATAATCAAAAGCAGAGGAAACGGGCTACCTTTATCAATGCAAGGAGGGGGCAGCGAACCGAACAACCACCGGATCAGGAGACCTCCCCGAGTTCTGTCAATCCTGCGGCTCGGCGTGGCATCCCGCTTGGGGCCTGGATTTGCGGCTCGGGTCTCACAAGGACGCAGGGAGAAGGCGACGCATAGCCCGGGCAACGCGCATTGACGGCGGAGCGCAAAGCAGAGACATCGCCGGGGAAGCAGAGGCGGCTGGGAGTCGGTGGGATCGCCGGCGACGGCGAAGGGTTCGTGGCAAGAGAGGGAGGAAAGGGGATTCCGTACGGTTTGCAACCAGAAACTAAGCTCGGCCTAGGGCTAGTAATGGGGCCGGCCCTAAAGCTCCTGCCGCTAATGGGCCTTTATTTGCATTTGGGCCAAAAATGACCTGCGGGAGGCCTGTCTTCTTTCTGCTCGTGGAAAATTCCATGTAAATCGACCATTTGTTTTTTTTTTAGAGAAATGTACCTTTACCCGGCCTCTATATCCAACCTGATATATGTAGCCTTTTTACATTAGAAATTTAGCTCTCAAATAACCCAATCTGAAATTCGCTTCTATAGAGATTTGAACTCAGGATCTTGGGGTGTTACTCAGGTCACGGCAACAACTAGGCTGCATTGTGCTTATACAAAGCCAAATTTTAAATTTTAAAAACTTAACTTTGAAGTAGATTTCGTGGTTTTTTCACGAAAGTTTATTTTATAGAATTTACTTTTAAATCGCTAAGAACACGTATATAATTTTTTTTACCTACAAATTATTTTTCTAATTGCTGTAATAAATCATACAAATAAGCATATGGAAAAGCAAAATATGAATCGGAATCGGGAATCGCTAGTCAGTCACGTAGGAAAGAACATAGCAACAGTGCCGACCAACACAGAACACTAGCTTAGCTCGATTTTTGCATGCATTCATACAGATGAAGCACAGGATAATAAATCGTACAAGCCCACATATACGCATTCTACAGGAATATAGGAATAGGAGCATAGAAACTGCATCTGTGTGACTGTCTACAATCATCACAGGCTTGAGCACAACCTGCTCACGAAAAGACATAGACACACTATACTTGCTACGTACTCCACTAGCTAATTCAACTCAGTGATACTCTCCTCGTCTTTCTCCTCGGAGATGGCAGCCAGCTCCAGCTCGGAGGACAGATACAGCGACTCCATTGCCGGGATGTAGTCATCGTCACAGAAGAATGGCCTAGGAGGAATTTGCAAACAATCAACACCACCTTCAAGCATCTCTATCACCTCGCTCATCATCGGTCGGTCACAAGACCTCATCTGGATGCACCACAATCCAACGATGCAGAGCTTCTTCTCCAACTCATGCATGTCGGCGGCAGCGGTGATCTCACCTGTTTCTTGTCGGGTCAGCTGACGGTACACTCGTGATGGATAGTATGCCTGGCTTGAATTCTCTGCATTCGGATCAGCATTCCTTCTTCCTCCGGCCATCTCCAATAGTAGCATCCCGAAGCTGTAAACGTCGGACTTGCTTGATATAACACCAAAGCTCCGAGAGATCATCTCAGGGGCAATGTAACCTACTGTTCCTCGTGCAGCGCTCACCGGCACAAAGCTCTTGTCCCTTGGGTATAGCCTTGCGAGACCAAAATCTGCAACTTTTGGAACAAAGTTCTTGTCTAGAAGGATGTTGTGTGGCTTGATGTCAAAGTGTAGAATCTGCAGATCACACCCCTGATGCAGGTAGTTGATTCCTCTGGCTATGCCCAACGCGATTTCATTTAGCTTATCCCTGGAGAAACTCTTGTCGGATGAGAAGATGTACTTGTCAAGAGAACCCCGAGGCATGTACTCGTAGACAAGCGCTCTTCTCATTTCTTCAGAGCAGAACCCTACCAGGCGCACCACATTGACATGGTGGATCCGGCCAATGGTAGAGACCTCACTGATGAACTCTTCTCCGTTGCAGTTGGAGTTGCCATTTAGCATCTTGACGGCAACATGGATATTGCCCGGGAGCAATACGCCTTTATACACAGTCCCATAGCTTCCTTGGCCTAGCCTGTCTCTGAAATGGCTTGTGATTGCAATGATGTCTGTGTAGCCATACCTCATTGGGCTGAGCATCTCTTGCATTCGGAGGAACTTCTCAACTGCATCGATTGTGATCCTTGCTTTCCAGTATTTGTGGGAAAGGAAGGTTAATACAACAAGCGGCGCCAACAGGAACCTGCATAGTACTACATAAAAACAAGTTTGTAGGGTTGTTTAGGATTGGTTTAACCTTTGAATATAATAGGATCCTGAAGTACCTGCAATCCAAGTCAGAATGGACATGGCTGGTCCTGTTCCGTAAATTGCAAACTCGTATGCAACACGAGGCAATTTAACTGGAGCCATTATGCACTGCCAGAAAGGCCCATACGCTAAAAGGATTGCTAGAAGTCGATTTTTGATGTATATATCAGACGATGGCACCATTGTTTGACGAAATATGCTGCAGGACAATGCCATGGTGAAAACGGAAATAAAATTAAGGTCCTCACAAGGTTTTGTTGGTACAAATGGGATGAAAATACCTTACCTAACGGACTCTGCCAGGCATGCTCTAAAATCAAAGTGATATGTCCCTGATGAAGAAGAAATTCCAATGGCAAACCCTTTCCTCATGTATTTCAGGACATCAGCATAGCTTAAGCTTGCATTGATAGACGCTCCCCTGTCATCCAGAGGTGTCATGCCCAGGTACCCACAAGAAGGCTCTAGGCTCTCAACATAAACAGTTTCTGACTCCGAGCCAGTCAGCACGTAGACGAAGGAATGGCTGGTGCTCAGGCAAGCGACGGGTTTGTACCTGACATTCCTCGTTATCTCCTTGGAACAATTCACAAATGCAGCCCACCTATTTGTAAAAGGGGCCAGTTCAATTACTTGGACTCCGTCACTGGTAGGGGCCATGGATATGCGCTCGTGTGGAGGTTGATGCTGCCGCCGCGGAAGAGGGCAGCTGCTGTTATGTGAATTCAGCAAGTCTGTGTCAACGACGACGAAAAGGCTCCAATGGATAATGCGAGTCACGTAGTATGTTGCATTGTTGATGCGAATTGTGGCCTTGGTGTCGCTGCAAACCAGCTCGTGAGATTTATAGCCGCAATCAGGTGGATCGCCGTGCCGGCGGAACGGAGGGGAAACGTTCTTGAGATGGCCCCAGGAGAAGGGAGGACACTGCGCTGTCTGCGCTGCCTCCTCGGGCCCGTACATCTGCCCTTCAACTTGAAGGAGAGCTGCAAGCACAGACAAGGCAGTTAGCGCCTGCAGGGCAGTGGAAGTAGAACGACGAAATGCACCAGCCACCGCCATGGCAGACAGCCAGACACAGACAGTTACTGTTCGACTAGCTAGCTCTAGCTGCCGCCCAAGTTACCAAGTTGATTAGCAAAGCTAGTTGACGCGGGTGATTACCTGCTAAGTACTGCACTGACCTACATTCAGATGTTGACTGGAGTAATCCAATTCTTAATCGCAGTACAGTTTTGATTTGATCTTTAACTTCTTCCAGTAAGTCAAATGCACTGACCTGTGCATTATTGGTCTAGACAACCTACAATGTCAGGCTAACTTTTCTTTTCTGAAACCGAGGCAGGAAATGCAATTAATATTTGTAAACAAGAAAAATGGGCTCCAGAATAACAGCGCGGAGCTCAAAGCGGGTACACACGTTGTCATGTTCTTGTCTATCAAACAGCAAGCAAACGATTAGCGACCATAAGAACTTCAGACAAACCGAATATACTAACAAACTCCTGCCTAACAAGGACACCTGTACTGGTTTTCTCTCAATCTTAATAGATTTGGCCGGCGTTTCCTTTGCCAGCCCAGCGAAAAATATATAGATCATAAAAATGTTTGTTTTTAGCACCGACTGCAGAATACAAGTGCAGACTGCCCATGATTTCTACTGACTGCGGATTAGAACGGGAAGAATTTCAACAGGCAGAACCGAAAGCACATTTGCATATAAACTACTTACCCCGGCCGGCAGTATTTCCGTAGTGTTTCAATTGACTATTGCTGAAGACGACTTGACTGCAGCAAGCCAGCAAGTTCCCATTGGACTTAGACAAGTCCACAACCTCAGTCTTCTTTATATGATGATATAGCTTGCCAACTTTACAAGAGTTTATTTCTGTAGAAGATACATGTTTCATGAGGTTAGTTATACAAATTAGTGAGAATAGTAGTATGACTGAAGAAAATAGGACATCCCTGAGTTGAGACAAGAATAGTCAAAATAAGGATCACAGTACAGCTGTCATTGGCAAAAAAACAACTACAGAACTTTCCAAGCGCTACAAGTCTAGATCACAGCAGGAGTTCCATTGGAAGCTAGAATCCATGCTCAAAAGGCAGACATTATGACAAGAACGATACCAATCCTCCAGAGGTTGAAGCAAATAGGTGATCATGTCTTATACTCACAGCCTTCCCTTCACACCTTCATCTCCATAACATTACAATGATTTCCCTAAACTTCTTTTCACAGTGTTGCTGCTCTCTCTTCTCAACTATGAACCCTATTCCACGAAAGCATGGGATGAAGAAGGCTTCTTAAAGAGTTGTTCATCACAGCGGTGCAGCAAACATGGACCAGATATACGGTTCCCCTTCAGGCTTTCAACCCACGATCCATCATGTGGCATGCCTGGCATGCAGTTGTCATGCTCTGGGCATGATACAATCCTGGATCACCCTGTCTTAGGCTCCTGCAAAGTGACCGCAATATATTACAGGTACCGTGTCATAAATGCCATCCTCCTTGTGGAATCATCATCAAATTGCCCACTTCAGAAGCTCGCTTCAACAAATGTATCAACTGCCGTGTACGAACCTCAAAAGAAAGATGGTGCAACCATAGTAGGGTGTTCAAAAGATTCCATAGCAACAAATCAAGATGGTATTGTTGGCCCAAGATCTTGCCTCAACCTAAGTAGTCATGGAAGCCAGTTATGGTATTTGGTGCCTCCTCGAACATACATGTCTGCTCTTCCACCGGACTGCACAGTGGTTGCGAAAGGCATCCCAATACCCTACAATTATGATAGAAATGGTCCAAATGAAAATCAATACCTCGACATCTCAAACTTAAAAGAAAAGGCAAATAAAGTCATCAACTTTGGTGAAACAGCATTTACTTGGCACCTTAACAAGATTACCAATGCTTGTCAGGGGTGTGAGTGGAATGGTCATCACTGCGGATTTAGTTCACAAAGGGGCCAGGCATTCTGCCAGCATCAAGGTATCCTTCATCTCATATTTTTTTTTCACAAGGGAATTCTACAAGTTATTTCTTCTATTTATTGTATTAATAATTATGTTATGGAATTCATAATTATCAAGCTTTTTTTAAACAATTCCTACAGGATTTTTACCTAAAGGAAGACCTTGATGAAAACTGTAATCGTCTTGGAAAAGTTCTAATAACTAGTACGAAAAAATGAACCAAACCAGTGGAAGGACATGCCAAATTGGACCTTCCTCAATAAATAAATAAATAAACCAAACTTTCTCTCCATCTCCAGGTTTTTAGTTATCTTGACTTGCGTATTTTAGAGCACTGGAATTAATGCAGATCACTCTAACCAAGGTCATTTCATGCTAAATACTATCATACTAATTTGGGATGCCACTCTTCTTACTCATCAAAATTGGACTTACCGACTTAGACCCTTGGGTGCTAATACAGTAGTGCTGACTGACACAAAACTGATCTAACCATTATGAATTAGAGGTTCCTAACAAAGTTATAGAAAGTTGTTTTCCCTTATCTTTGTTATTACTAAACTTTGATGTAAACTATTTTTTTTTCTTCCTTCCTTCAGGTTCACAAGTCATCCTCATTGCAGGTAATGCAGATATTCCCTGTTCTTCAAATTCTCGCCTGTCAGCAACCAAGATTTTGTGTACTCTTGTTCCAATAAGAGTTGCTTTGTTCCTTTTTCTTTTTGTTTCAAAAAGCAGATATTAGCTCACACCTTGCTTATCCTAATGGAACAAACTAATTTCATTTACTTTTACACAGCTACATCCTCAGCAGCCACACTAGTTGTTCTTTTGCTGATGGTGGGCACAACAATCTATCTTTCACTAAAGACAAGATATAATGAAGAGATACATTTGAAGGTCGAAATGTTTCTCAAGACATATGGCACATCGAAACCCACAAGGTATAGTTTCTCTGAAGTTAAGAAGATTACAAGACGGTTCAGGGAAAAGATAGGCCACGGTGGGTATGGAAATGTATACAAGGGTGAGCTACCAAATGGAGTGCCCGTGGCAGTTAAGATGCTAGAAAATTCCAGAGGCGACGGGCAGGAATTCATCAATGAAGTTGCAACCATTGGAAGAATCCACCATGCCAATGTGCTTCGTCTTTTGGGTTTTTGCTCAGAAGGAACAAGACGCACTTTAATTTATGAATTCATGCCAAACGACTCATTGGAGAAATACATATTCTCACAAGGTCCTAACGTGTCACGGGAATTCCTAGTGCCTGACAAGATGCTAGATATCTCTTTAGGCATTGCCCGAGGAATGGAGTACCTACATCAAGGGTGCAATCAACGCATTCTACATTTCGATATCAAGCCTCAGAACATTTTGCTAGATTACAGCTTCAATCCAAAGATTTCAGATTTTGGACTTGCGAAACTGTGTGCAAGGGATCAAAGCATTGTCACACTGACTGCAGCAAGAGGCACAATGGGCTACATTGCACCAGAACTGTATTCTCGGAACTTTGGGGTGATATCTTACAAGTCAGATGTATACAGTTTCGGTATGTTGGTTTTAGAAATGGTGAGTGGAAGAAGGAATCTGGACCCAGGTATTGATAACCAACATGAAGTTTATTTTCTAGAATGGATTTATGAGAAAGTATTCACTGGGCAGAACTTATTGATTGGTACGGAAATGACACAGGATGAAAAATACAAAGTGAGGAAACTGGCAATTGTGGCACTATGGTGCATTCAGTGGAACCCCAAAAACAGGCCATCAACGACCCAGGTGGTTAACATGCTAACAGGAAGGTTGCAGGATCTGCAGATGCCTCCTAAACCATTTGTCTCATCTGCAAGCGAATCTATACCATAAAAAAATGAAGATATCACCACGGTTGGCACATGTTTTTTTTTTTGGGAATACGCGAGGAGCGCATTTTTGTATTAAGAGGAATAAAAGTTATTTACAGACAAACACAAAGCAGCAGGGGACTGAGACAGGATACAAGCAGGAAATCAAAGGTGTACGTCTCGCGGTCTGTTTTGGCTACCAAATTCCCTCCTAAAGATTGGGATGGCTTGGTTTGCTTGACGCCATAGCGTGGCCTCTGCTGCCATTCCCTTCACGATGTCCACCCAGGTCCTTTGTTGCTGATTGAATATCCGGCCGTTTCTTTCTTTCCAAATTGTCCATGCCACTAGCGTGACTACCGTGTCAAAGCCCCGCCGAAGATGCTCTCAAATTCTTATTCGACTGCTGCAGAGCCATTGGTAGAATGATGGTTCATCCACCGGCAGACACTCAGGGTGCCCAATTGCCCTTAACACCCACCACCAAAGTTGTCTGGATTCTGGGCAGCCAACAAGAATGTGATCAATACTCTCGTCGTGTTGATCACAAAGTACGCATCTGTCAAGCCAACAAGAATGTGATCAATACTCTCGTCGTGTTGATCACAAAGTACGCATCTGTCAGGATGTGGTAGGCCACGACGACGTAGTCGATCCGCTGTCCAGCATCTGTCCAATACGACCAGCCAAAGAAAGAATCAGCATCTGGGCGGCGCTAGAGATTTCCATATCGGTGCTGATTGAAATGGAACACGACCTAGAAATAATGCTCTGTATGCCGACTTGGAGGAGTATTGTCCTGAGCTGTCCCATTTCCAACAGATCACATCTTGCTCAGAGGGATTGCAACCAGCATTTTGCAGAAGTGACCAGAGCTTGAGGTATTCTCGGATTGCCTGAACTCCAAGTGCCCCGCTGATGTCTCTGATCCATGCTTTATTGAGCAGTGCTTCCGCGACCGTCCTGCGTTTGCGGATTCGAACAGGAACATGTTCGAAGATGGAAGGCGCAATGGCTCGTATACCTCCCTCCTGCATCCAGCAATCCTCCCAGAAGAGGATACTTCTTCCATCCCCCAGTTGGCACATGTTTGAAAGATAGCCTACGTATTGCTCAGTGATCCTGAGTACTAGCTAGCATGCACCTTACTTGTAAAATGAATAGCACATACAGAATTGTGCTCAAAGACAATGACTTGATAATTACCTTATTCTGTGTTCTGTGATAGCCTTGATTTATCTTTATCATTCATATTATGTAGCCTCAAACACTGGACCCCTCATAGGCTGTACAATGCGTTTGAAAATTCCTTTGCATTTCATTCAGTGCATCAATACCAGGTGGGATCGCATAATAGAAGCCTGTAAGGCAGGCGATTAGCTATGGCATGTTGTTCCTTATTTACTACTACAATCCTAAATTGAAACTGAATCTACAGATGCGCATGGGTCTGAGTTTGCTACTACAACCCTAAACTGAATCTATAGATGGGCATGGGAATAAGTAGAGTTCACCCAAAAAAAATTCAAAAGCAGAGCAAAGGAATTACCTTCATCGATGCCAAGGAGAGGACACAGAACTGTCTTATGATGATACTGCAAAATAAGATGTAAGGAAAATTTCACTATTGCAAATATATTCATATAATCATGGTGCATAAAAATTTAGAGCCAAAACTCTATCCTACCCCACCAGGGCCATGTTCGCTGATACATTGTGTTGGATTGCACTGTTTTTATTTTCAAGATGTAATTATCCATTATCTGTTAAAACCACCAACCAGAACTTATTATCTTCGTTCATACTTGCAGGTTCGCATGTGGAAGTCATTTCAGGTACTGCAGTACTCAAACCTACCTTTCTATTCAAAAGAGAAAAGAAACAATGTTATCAGTACATATAAATTCTTATTGCTAGCTATTCTGAGTCTTCTGACTCAGCATTCTTCTGCTAAAAAATACACCACCTGCTCTTACAGTACCCATCAGACAATCACAATCAGTTGATTACTAGCCACAACTTTCAATCCTAATGCAATGTGCTAATTTCCCCTTCTCTGTTAATTCAGCTACATCATTGGTAGCCGCATTTGTTGTTCTTTCGTTCATCATGGCCACAGCACTCTATCTTTCACTGAAGTCAAGGTATGATGAAGAGGTACATTTGAAGGTTGAAATGTTCCTCAGGACATATGGCACATCGAAGCCCACAAGGTACAGTTTCTCTGATGTCAAGAAGATAACGAGATGCTTCAAGGAACAATTAGGTCAGGGTGGATTTGGAAGTGTAAACATTGTCCGCCTTCTGGGATTCTGCTCTGAAGGAACACGACACATTCTTATCTATGAATTCATGCCTAATGAATCATTGGAGAAATACATATTCTTTCATGACCCTAATACTTCTCAAGAACTCCTGGCACCAAAAAAGATGTTAGATATTGCCTTAGGCATTGCCCGAGGAATGGAGTACCTGCATCAAGGATGCAACCAGCGAATCCTCCATTTTGATATCAAGCCTCATAATATCTTGCTGGACTATAACTTCAATCTGAAGATTTCAGACTTTGGTCTTGCAAAGCTGTGTGCTAGGGACCAAAGCATTGTTACCTTGACCAAAGCAAGAGGCACAATGGGCTACATTGCACCAGAGCTATATTCTAGGAACTTTGGGGAGATATCTTACAAGTCAGACGTATACAGTTTTGGCATGCTTGTGTTAGAAATGGTTAGTGGAAGGAGGAACTCAGACCCAAGTATTGAGGACCAGAATGAGGTCTACTTTCTGGAGTGGATCTATGAGAAAGTAATTACTGGGCAGGACTTTGTACTTAGTGGGGAAATGACAGAAGAAGATAGACTGAAGGTTAGACAGATGGCCCTCGTGGCACTTTGGTGCATTCAGTGGAACCCAAGAAACCGTCCCTCGATGACGAAGGTTGTAAACATGCTAACAGGAAGGTTGCAGAATATACAGGTGCCCCCTAAGCCATTTGTTTCATATGAAAGCCATGCTGTGCCATAAATCATACTAGTAATGTTATGGGAGTTATGCTTAGTTGACGTGTTGAAATAGTAATGCCTAGAAATTGCATAATATGCACCTTGACTGCACATTGATTATCTGTATGAGGTATGAATCATCGCTCTTTATTACCATGTAATAAAAGAAATAAGAAACACATCAGTTGATGTGATTACCTTGTTCAGTTGTTGCTATGATATATCTCCATCCAACCACCGTGTGCAGAGTACTCCTCGTTGCACTATTTCAGTAAGATGCCCTCCTCGTCCGTTTCATGGGTCCATAACTAGTGGTTTGCAACAAAATCCTGCAAGGAAATTGAATTATGGCAATTTTTCCCATGCAGAACTAATATAAAATATCGAAGCAAAGAGTATTATTTTTGTCTGTTTGTCCGTGCGAACGGCTGACTAGGGTAACATTCATACCCTGAATTCGTCACTGAATAAAGAAGTAGATTCATATCCTAAATTACTCACTGAACTAAGAAGTATAATAAGTTAAGTTGGCTTGGTCACATTCCTATCCATCCCATTCAAAAAGTCAGGGCCCGCCTATCTATCTGATGGAAATCTCACATCAAACAGGATGCTGCTGGGCAAGCAATCGAGGAGCTACGAATTTGCAATGTGAAGAGATGAATGGGCATGGACTCGACTAGTGAATAAGTACACTTTAATAAAAACTTAGGAAAAATAATCAAAAGCAGAGGAAACGGGCTACCTTTATCAATGCAAGGAGGGGGCAGCGAACCGAACAACCACCGGATCAGGAGATCTCCCTGAGTTCTGTCAATCCTGCGGCTCTGGGGCCTGGATTTGCGGCTCGGGTCGCACAAGGACACAGGGAGAAGGCGACGCATAGCCCGGGCAACGCGCATTGACGGCGGAGCGCAAAGCAGAGACATCGCCGGGGAAGCAGAGGTGGCCGGGAGTCGGTGGGATCGCCGGCGACGGCGAAGGGTTCGTGGCAAGAGGGGGAGGAAAGGGGATGGAAAAAGTACACCGAAGGTTCCTCAACTTGTCATCGGGATACGAAAACATCCTCAAACCGCAAAACCAGATATGCGGGATCTCTCAACTATACAAAACCGGTCACCCGAGGTCCCTCGGTGGTTTTCATCCCGGTTTTGTCCGACGTGACGGCTGAGTCAGCGTGGGACCCACGTGGGCCCCACATGTCAGCGGGCCACGTCATCACCCTCTCCTCTCCCTTTCTCCTCTCTCTCTCTCTCTCACTCTTCTCGTTTGGGTAGGCAGCGGGGGACAACGGCGTCGGCTGGCGACTGGCGACGCCCGCCGTTGCAGAGGCCGCACGCACGGAGGTGGGCCGCCGTCGAGTGAGGAGAAAGCAAGGGGGCCGGGGAGTCCGGCGGCGACCTCCTCACCGGCCGCGACGTCGCCATCAAGTCCTTCCCCAACCGGCGACATGGCGGCCGGCGAGGGGAGCAAGGCGTCCGCGGCGGCGAGGCTGTTCTTGTCCGCGGCCAGCTTGACCCGGCGCAACGACGAGCCAGGCGCGGGCGACGAGCCACATGTGGACCGTCCACACGCCGACGCTCTTCACCTTGGCGCTGGCGCCGCCTCGTCCGTTGCGGCCACGGCGGACTCCGAGAGCTCCCCGGCCGCGAACCTGCCGGCGAGGTCGTGGAGGTAGGCCGCCTTGCGGGCAGAGACGCCGATGGCGCGGAGGTCGGCGGCGGAGAGGGCGAGCACCGCGGCGGGGTTGACCACCGCGGCATTGGGATCGGCGGCGGCGGGGAGGCGCGTGAGGAAGCGAGCGTAGATGGCGGCGGCAGCGGAGGGAGCGAGCGTAGATCGGCTGTTGCTGGCCATGGCGACGTCACGGAGGCGGACGCTGCTCAAGGTCATCGTCCTAGGCGACAGCGGGTCAGCACACTACACTAGCTCATCCTTGGCTACTGCAGGCCTAGCTGTTTCATCTTAGCTTGATTCGAATCGCTCTAGCTATGCTTCTGTCAGCTTGATTTCATGGTGCTTGTTTGATTTTTGCCTGACTCCTGACATGGATTGGTTTATTTGGTTGTGATTTTGGTTTTGGTGCAGGTTGGGGAAGATGTCCCTGATGAACCAGTATCCTTTACCTCCATAGCTGCCTAGCTGCATATCATCGAGCTTTGTATCCTGCACATCTACCATGGCCAGGATGAGCTTGAGACCGAGAGGCCGGCGGCCGCGGGAGGCCTGCGGCGACGACCGCCTCAGCGCACTCCCCGGCGACCTGCTCCTCCTCGTCCTCCGCCGCCTCTACACCCGCACGGCACTTGCCACCGGCATGCTCTCCAGGAGCTGGGCGCATCTGCCCCACGAGCTCCCGGCCCTCGATTTCAGGGTCAGCGACATACTCCGCCGCGCTATCACCGGTGACCGGTGCATCCTCCGCCACCGCGGCGTCGTCGGCGCGTCACCAGTCGCCAGCCGCCGCCATCGTGTCGCCCGTCACCGGCCGCCGGCGACGCCCTCGTCCTCTCCCACCTTGCCCCGCCGAAGGCAGCAGCCCGCCGACGTCCTCCCCAGCTGCCATCCCAAACGAGAAGAGCGAGAGAGAGAGGAGAGGAGAGGGAGATGACGTGGCCCGCTGACATGTGGGGCCCATGTGGGTTCCACGCTGACTCAGCCGCCACGTCGGACAAAACCGGGTTGAAAACCACCGAGGGATCTCGGGTGACCGGTTTTGTATAATTGAGGGATCCCGCATATCTGGTTTTGCGGTTTGAGGATGTTTTTTATCCCGATGACAAGTTGAGGGACCTTCAGTGTACTTTTTCCTCTTACAAAAGGATTCGGCCCAAGAGCTTAACCGGTCATTACCACGAGCCTTCATCTAGCCTTCTAGGAATAAGTTCACCGGTGGTCCTCAACTTAACAGGGAGATTTTTTAGGTCCTTTAACCACAAAATCAATACCCCTAAACTCACACAAACCGTGCACTCAAGATCCTATGGCAGTATATATGGGTTGTTTAGCAACGTGGCATCCTACTCAGCAAAATAAAATAAAAAAAGTACGTGGGGCCCACATTGTCAGCTGCACATTCTCTTTTCTTCTCCTTCTATTCTCTTTCCTCTCTTCGCTCTTCTCTTCTTCAGTAAGGGAGGTCGTCGGCGGGCGGAGCGGCAATGGGCGAGCGCGATGCGTGCAGCGAGCGGAGAGCCGACAGCGGCAAGCGAGCGTGGCAGCGGTCCACGGGTGGCGGGCGGAGCAATTTGGGAGGGAGGGGGAGGTGGCCGGCGACCCCGTCCGAGCTCGTCTGACTTACGTGCGAGCTCGCCCCCGACGTAACTCGGTGTGCTGGGGACGACGACAAGGAAAGGGGGAGAGAGAGGTATCGACGGCCGACGACAGTGGAGGCGGGCGAGCTCGGTGACGGGCTGCTCACGCTCGTCGACCAGGCCCCCCGCTCTGTACTCGCCCACCGCTACTCCGCCTGTCGCGCTCATGGAGGAGGTTGACCAGCACGACGACGACGCCGGTGGTGAAGATCTAGAGCATGACGAGCGCCGTTGCTCTTGCCCGCCGCCCATGGCTAGCTTCGCTCGCCCGTAACTCTATTGCTGCTCTCGCTCGCCGCTCTTGCTTGCCGCTCCGCCTGCCACTCTCACTCGCCGCCCCACCCGCCGCTCCCGCCGTCCCGGCGGCCTTTCTCCCCCTCTCCCGCTTCTTCCCCGCGCGCCGCCGCACCCGCTCCGCCGTCGGCTACCACGCCCGCATCTGCCCGTCTGCTCCTGAATGTGCAACTGACATGTGGGCCCCATGTATTTTTTTTTATTTTTTTCTGACTAGGATGCCACGTCAGCGAAACTACCCATATATATTGCCATAGAACGTTGAGTGCATGGTTTGTGTGAGTTTAGGGTGCACATTTCTGGTTTTGTGGTTAAAAGACCTCAAAAAATATCGTTGTTAAGTTCAGGGACCTCAGGTGAACTTATATCATCAAAACGCAGCGATTGTAGATACCATAGATACATAAAATAGATCAAAAGGTGACATCACATCTCAAGGCATCAGCATACTGATATACTGTTTGTTTGGTTCATTTGATTAGTGGAGGCTTGCAGCTCTGTAGCTGTGCCGCTGCGCGTGCTATGCTTTCCTCCTGCGGTCAGACAAACATAAACAGGGTGTGTACATGGAATTTGTTAGTCAGACATAAATATATTGGATATTTGAATTACAGCTCCCAGCGGTAACAACAGGCACTACTAGGCTGTCCAAATCGTGGCATTTCTTTTCAGCAAAAACAGGTCCATATAACCTCCCGGAGACTTGACCATCACTATCGGGATGAACTCTGGCGTGCTCATGCAGCAGTAGCACACACACCAGTACACCACATAAAATGCAACGACCAACAACACATTTGGCCAATGGCCACACATAACGATGGCGTCCCAATCACAAAGTTATGATAAACGAAAGCTTCCCTCTAGTTCACGGCAAAGAAACGACCCGGTCAGTCAAGGCAAGAAGCTGCCTCCTTCCGCTAGCCACACTGACCTCTGGAGTCAACACCTCCAGCGTTGCAGTGATCCGAATGCCACACCAAAGCAGAGAACCAATTAGGAATGTATTGAGTAGCATTTTTTTTCAGAACTTTTTTGAACGACTTGCACAGACAGTGTGAAATTCAAATTGATATAGTAGGAAAAAATTACAAAATTACAACCTTGGGAGGTCGTAATCAGGAAAAAAACAAAGATTTCCACCTCCCACGCACCGACAGCACCAAACACAAATTGGGAAGAAGGCTAGCACCAAACCGGACGCTGCTAGGCCAACAAAGGAACTACAGTCGAGGTCGCCCAAACCTATCCCTAACATCTGACATTAAACCCCTACTCTAGCCACCTCTTTGGGATTGAGAGAGAAAAAGGGTGAGACAGAAGGATGGAACCGCTCTCCCCCATAGGCCCTCTGACATGGTCAACTTGCATAAGCTAGGGCGCTGACACGAGAGGACATGCATCTAGAGAGCTAGCTTGCACCAAAAGTCTAGGAGGATTCAACCAGGGTTGCCTAGACGATGTCTCCAGGGAGAGGAGCGAATAAAACACCGCCGCCGCCGTCCATCGAGCTCTCAAAAAGAGCCAAGACTAGGTTTTCACCCACCGACCACCACCTGCAAATCCACGGCTGACACACCGATGCTCCACCACCGTCAAACCTTTGCCGAAATGTGGGACCACTGCACCGACGCCCCCCGCCGGCTAGCCTCCGCGTGCCCCACACCACACCGCACCCATCGGCAGCTCCTCCTCATGCCGTGCCGACCTACGTCACCGCCGGCCACGCCTTCTTGCGCCGTGCTAGCCTCCGACCACTCCTCCAGGCGTACTAGCCAGCCGCTGCCACGTCGGCCCATCCGCTGGCCATGCCGGCCAGATGTAGCCATCGCCCACGCCTCTCCTCCGCTGGCCGTGCCGACCATATGCAGCTGTCGTCCATGCCTCCTGATGTGACCATGGCTACTACGGATACAACCATTGCTTACATCATGGATGAACAACAGGAGATCAAGTTCAAGACCTCCAAGTGCTGGAATCCGATTCGGCCACCTGCTAGACTGCTGACTTCAAACGGCCGCCAAATCTACATACGACCTCCGTTTTCGGCCCGCGAGTACTTGATGGAAAGCTCTTGGAGTCCTCTTTCCAATGGGTTCAGCCTCATCTCTAAATCCCATCTCATTTGGCCGCAATCAAAGAAACAAGGTGTTGCGTCACATATTATAATGTGCTTATGGGCTTGTAACTTCATTTGTGACCTTGGCCCAAGTGGGGCCCATGTGGGGTGCGCCCCAATCTGGTGGAGCACGACCCTAGGACCCTCTTGGTCATCTCTCACCCCTATAAGTAGCTAGGTACCCCTTCAGAGTTTCGAGGGTTTTGTTAGATTAAAGTTTAGACATTCCTACTTGCTTGCAGCGCGCGTGTCAGCTAAACCATCCGTCTTCTTGTTCTTCGGAACTCCAACTCATCATTTGTATTCAATTCCTATTTGCAACATCAGATTGCTTTTATCTTGTTCTTGCTTGTTTCTTCGATTTGCTTGTAGGAATAGAGTTGATTTGCACCGGCAAGATCAACAACCCACGGAGAGGTATATCAATCGCTAAGGTGCAACACAACGTCTCGTACGGTTGTAGTCGGATCGTCAACGCTCCTCCCAAATCGTGGTTATCTGAACTCACCGAAAGATCGGGCCAACAACATCCTTGAGTATCGAGTGGAACTCAGGGTTCATCACCTCCCCGACTAGCCGTCTGCACCCCGTCCGCAGCCGCCTGTGCCTCCCGTCGTAGTCGCCCTCGCCCGCTTCCCGCTGTCGACATCGTTGTTGATGACCAAATTTGGTAAATTATGAACCAGGTTCGACATTGGGATCGAAGCGGATTCAATAAAGAGATTGATTCTGTCAGAGATATGGGCCCGGGCGTATGCAAAGTGTGGGGGAGTTCCCTTCCCATCCTCACACGTGGCTCTACAGCCTGGCCCTGCCCCCACGCCCCATGAGTCGCAGGCGCGACCGGGGGGCCTCGGGGTGCCAGGTCATGCCCCTCGGGGTGCGGCGTCAGGCCCCTCGGGCCCTCGCGCTGCGGCGGCCCGAGGCCCTCGCCCAACTGCCGCGTGGCGGGGGGAGCGTGAGGAGAGAGAGGCATGGCTGAGTATAGGTGTCCAAACGGGCGGCACGGCCCGGCCCGGCACGGGCACGGGTCCGGCACGGCCCGTTTCGGCACGGCCCGTTAGGCACGGCTGATGAAACGGGCCGTGCCGTGCCGGCCCACGTGCCGAGCCGCCGGCCCAAGCACGGCCCGTGGATGGCCGGGCCGTGCCGTGCCGGCACGGCACGCCTGCGGCCCACGGGCCGTTCGGGGCGAAATTTGAGATTTTTTGGAATTTTTTCGAAATTTTTATGAATTTTTTAGCCTCCCAACGGTTATTTTCAAATTTGAACGGTCAAATAGCCGTTAGTGTGCCACGTGGCGCCTTCCCATTCGACCGCCGCCCGCCCACGTGGCGCTTTCGGCCTGACGGGCCGCCGGCGAAACGGGCCGTGCCGTGCCGCGGGCCGTGCCGGGCCGTGCCGCTACAGTAGCCGTGCCGTGCCGTGCCGGCCCGCGGGCTCGGCCAGCGGCCCAAGCACGGCACGGCTACTCGGGCCGTGCCGGCACGGCCCGTTACTGTAGCAGGCCGTGCCGGGCCGTGCCTGCTACAGGTTCGGCCGTGCCCCGGGCCGCCCGTTTGGCCCGGCCCGTTTGGCCACCTCTGTGGCTGAGCAGCCATCAATGCGCGGCGCCCCAACCGTCCCTCACCATGTTTAATGCGGTAAGGATGAACGTGCGGTGCCGCACCACTGGCCCACGTCAAATCGGGTGTGACCAGTCTGTGATCGGCCTATCGCCGGTCACGTCCGATTGACGCGCGGTCGTGCCCTCACGTCGCCTTTGTCTCCGGCGGAGTGGAGGTAGGTATGTCCCGTCACATCGGGGCGTCATCGGAGTCCTCTCCACGTGAGAAGGACAGTCACCAGTCATCGCCCATTTAAGAGCGAATGATAGGGCTGTCCCCCGTGTCAGGCGGGGGGCGGCGCTGGGTCCCACCTAGAGACGCACAACTACCTTGCTTCCGGTTGAAGGCACGGATGGAGGTCTGATCCAGGCTAGGTGGGTCCCCCTCCCATGGAGGGGTAGGTATAGACGGTGCATGTGGTATCCCCTTGAACTATAAAAGGAGGACCTTGCTCACCGGGAAAAGGGACGACACTCGGAAAACCCCGAACTCCAGGAAGAGAAGGGAAGTAAGCTCTTCTAAGTTGGGGAACCCTTGTAATCCTCATCCATAATTCCACACACAGGAGTAGGGTATTACTGTCACGACCGGAAATAACCTAACGGGCGTTCCTTACATACGTGTATTATTCCTTGTCCCAGGAGGCAAGGTACACCAAAAGTTGATACAATTCAGAGTTTAACAAGCGGAAGCGTAAATAGTTAATTATTACATGGGCGACGAGAGCCCAGCACACAGAAAGGCAATGGAAAACAGCGGAAGACTAGGGCGACGACCACAAGCGCCTGACGGCAGGCACGAGCTAGACACCAAAGCCTTCATCATCCAGGAGCTCCTCTTCTGGGTTTGGGAAAAATTGAGCAAGACTGAGTACAACCACCGTACTCAACAAGACACACCCACAAGTGCAGCATACGCCAGGACAAGGTTTTAGTAACACCATTTTGTGTTACTATATGTCCAAAAATGTGTTACAATGTTATTCAGTAACACATTTATGAACTGTTACTATAGCCTATGTTACTGTAGCGCAATCTACTGTAACACATCTATGCGTTGTTATATATAAGAAAAGGTGTTACAACTAGGCTATAGTAACATGTATTTAGGTGTTGCCATAGACCATTGTAACACCATTTTCTACCATTACCAACACCGTTGGTAACATCATTTTCTACTTGAAGTAACATATTTGTAACATTTTATTGTATATATTACAACACAATTACTTTTTGGATTGGTAGTGCATTTCACCTAAAATTACTACATTTAGAAAAAAATACTGCATGAAGTTTTATCACTTCAAAAATGGAAGTGGCATGACCATATATACGTAATAGGAGAAAATAATCACAAGTGAAGAAGTGAAATGATCATAATATATTGCATTGCAATAAGGAAATTTACAGAATTATTGTTTACATCTTGTAACAAAGAAATTTATAGGCATATCTTTTAAAAAGAAAAAAATACACATTTTAGCAGCAAGCTGCTAGATAATTGTGCAATACATCTATTCATATATCATCTTCGCAAATTCCTTCGCTTCTTTCTTAGATCTTGAAGTGGGCATTCAACTGTCAGAATTCAGCCACTGATCATCTGAATCTGCATAAGAAATTTATTATTAGCCTTCACAATTGCATTAAATAATATTGACAATATTCTTCAACATATAAAATGCTACTATGACCATACATAAAACAACATAGCCATATTGTCATTTTCCTTAAAATGATGATCTGTAACCACTTTACTAAACTAGTTCAAAGGCAAAAAAAAAAGTTGCTCACAGATTCATCTAGCATTAAACTGAGGCCAATTGCCACCTGAAAAATAGATTAGGAGTACTAATGTTCATCAAGATTATCAATGATCCTGTCAACAGTATAATTATCTGATAGTTTCATCCTTTATATCTGATGAAACTGGGGAATTTAAATTGGTTTTTGGACAGATCATTTTATTACTAAGCTTCATGTTCTTTCTCCTCTGTTCTGTCAACCAAAAACAATGTGGAACTAACCTTTGATACCATTGCAACCCCAGTGTGGTAGTGTCCCATTCATCTTAAATATATTCTTGCAAACCTGCTTCAGAGGGGAAAAAAGACGACGTAGCATCAAAGTATCAAATAATGTATTGAAGCAAGAATCATTAGTATTTAAGTCCATCTAAAGCAAACTATCTAACGCCATGTTTGTGGAGTATTGACTGTACACATCATGCTTCCATGCTTCCTCCAAACGTGCCTACACACCACAATAGTTTCCTACACACCACAATAGTTTCCTCCATACTACAGTAGAACGCCTGTAGTATTTTCTTTAAATGTATCAGCAAGTGTAATACAAGATTTTGGAAAAACACAGTGCTCAGGAAAATAATTTTCTGTTGAAAATGCAGGAAAATAGTTCGAACGGCACATTTCTTAACATTGAAAGCTACAGTTGACTGAGATATACAAATCGGATATCAGTATCCACTGCTACCACCATATAGAAGAATAAATGATTACTACTCCTACAATGGCAATAATACATTGGGTAGCATATCAAACTTTGGAGCCACACACCATAGAACAAAAAGATATAATACTCTATATATGCGCTGGATATGTCAACAGTTAAACATCAAATATTTTTGCAACATCATATATTTTTGCAGCAGGAACTTCCCAATATGCATGTGAGCATGCACTTCTGAAAGTTCTTACTACTCCTACCAATGACAGTACAACTTCTATCAATCATCTGTGAAGGAAAATAAAAAGTAATTATGACCTTCTTTTCCTATATAGCATTTCTCCAATAAGTTGGAAAATACCCATAGAATAATTATGACTAACCAGAGAAAGCTGCAGCCATAATTACCTTGCACCAAGTGATGTGCTCTGTGAGTTCTTCTCCTGTGGTTCCATCTTTACAATCTCGTAAGCAGGCACACATAGTGATATAGAGTTGCTTTGCCTCATTTTCTACACTTAAAGCTGCAGTGTTAGTTTCTTGTATCAGAACTTCATTAGACAATAATATGTTTGATTTACTTAACAAGGCATGGAAGAAAATAGATGACATGCAGAATAGTACCTTAAGATTTCGTTCCCAAAGTTTAGACATAGCACATCTTATTTTGAACTTCCATGCACAAACCACAACATGCTGATCCAAAATATTGTTCAAAGCTAGTGTTTTAATCAAACAAGTTGACATTTGTTTGCAATAAGAAGTCAACTTGTATTATATTGGTTTTGCTCTTTTGGCCCTCTGTTGTGAGTTGTGACCTTTAAGTAATGATCAGGCATAACTGGATTTTATCGAACAAATCGGTCCATATATACTGCCTGCTTGAAAGAGTCAACAACTTAATCCCCTTGAAAATACTGGCTAGCTGCATAAAAAGTTGTTCTGTTGATGGTGATCACCCAATGTGTTCATGAAACTGAAAGCAATCAAGCACTACTAATTCACAGATTTAGGTTTTTTTTTTTATGAATGATCATGTTGGCATAAGAATTTTGCAATTTCGCGTGATCAGAAAAAGTATGGAGAGATGTGAAGATAACATCAATAATCTGTCTAAGGACAAAATTATGCTTTTACGGAGTTGGCATGCAACAGTACACAGTGAAGCTTTTCATCAAACACATGATGTGCATATGTGTGATAGAGAACAAGCCATCCACTCCTATTAAAGAAGAATTTAGTGAGACAGTACACAAACCACAAAAAGGATTCCTTTGGGTTCTTGTGATGTGCTCACCATGCGTACACAAGAAGGATGCAGTGATCAGATGTGTTTGGACTCTCCAGCAATCAGATGTGTCTCGATCTTGCATCCTGCAAATGCCAGGAAGAAAGGGATGGGTGAGACAGGCTAGATAGATGGCCAGTTTTGGGGAGAGCAAGCATGTGCGGCTGAGCAATTTACTCCTTCTCGCCCCCTCCTCCGAAGCCGCCGGCGTCTGTAGTCCCTCGACATCGCTCACGCGGCTCACCTGACGAGATCGATGCCGCTCCACGGACGGAAACTCCCCTTTCTCCCCTGCCCACCTGCCACCGTAGGGGCTGCGACGAGCCGACTCCCCTTTCTTGTCGCCGGGATCTGAGTAGTTGATAACACGAGATTGCAGCAGCCAGCAGATGGGAAGCACAGACCTCGGTTGCTCGGGTGATGAGTCGTGGGATGTTGGGTTCCTCCTGGAAATAAGGAGGTGATGGGGTAGGGGGCGTTGGGTCTTATTATATCGTGAACTGAAGATGTGGAGATAAATTAGCCGGTTCGTTACAAGTGAAATTTTGGCGGCAGTCTCTAGACGGAAAGTCGAGATTGGCGGGAAGTATTTTTATGTAAATTGCGCATGAAAATAGCACGGTATTTCTTTGTCTAAAAACTATGAGAGGCCATAATTTAAAAAAGTTGGTCCACTTGTAAGTATTAAATTAAGGTAATTTTAATTTTGTTTATATATGTAACATGAGATTTACTTCTACATTACTGTTTTTGAGATGGAAGTTTGATCACAATTCTTTAACCAAATATAAATTTATAGAAATGTAATAAGTTTATGAGATTAAGAAATTACTTTCAAAACAAATGTACATGTATCATTGCTATATGCACAAACTTATCATTTTCGTTGATATTATTTAAAGTTATAATAATTTAATAGAAACTTTTCTAAAACATTATATATTTTCTAGATCGAACGTAGTAAATGGTAAACACATCCATTAATTTAATTCTATGTTATTTGGCTCTACCATGCTATCTCAATTAGTTTATCGTCTATTGGTTTATCCGAGTCTGACTACCTTCATAAATAGCCTGAAGTGCAAGTCCAAACATCTTATCACTATTTTACTTCCTATACTTTTCACAACCAACCAGAGCCGTCTCTATTAGACACCGGTCCTTTTAAGTTAGTGTTATGTCTTCAGCGTCCTACGTGTAAGCTAGAGAAGCCACGTGGCTACAAACGTGCGAAACACAAAGGTAGCATTCGATGGAAGATGATTTTCACAAGTTCAGTGAAGCTTGCTTGTGGTTCGCATATTTTGACTTAAATTTCATTGTCAAAGTACCCTCTCAATTCTTTAGAAAATTAATAAAATTTCTGCCAATATGAAGTTAATTGTGCATCCCATACTTATGGACAAGTATCCTCTACATGCCGTTGTGCCTAGAGAGCGTCGCCAGCCGTTGTCATTGCAGTAAGGAATAACAAGATATTATCACTCTTTGCCTCCTTCCATTCTCATTCATCATATTACATAAAAAAGATACATATACTTTTCCGTAAAATTTTATTTTCCGCACATTATAAATAACATTGTATATGAAATGTAATAGGCTATTATTTGTTATAGAGGGGAAGATTTTGTTTCATTAACATGGATTAAACTAATTTATTGATAAGGTGAGTACAAAATTATTAAAACTTTATAGAATTCCAAATAAAACTACTACTAATTTATTTCTTTATAGGTCCACCCTGTCAGATTTCCATCAATCTAGTTCTATTGTGCCTGAAAAAGAGAAACACATAAAACTGATTTTGCCGCGGGTTTGCTCCAAATTTTTGTGTTTGTACGCTTTTTTCCTCCCTCAATTTGCCGGGTTTTCTTCTCCACTATCGGAAGCAGTTATGATCCTAATAGAGAAAACAAAACCCATCTCCTTACTCCTGAACATACCGATCCAATCTCTCCAGTCATCGCAGCTTCTCCACAGCAGATCCCGGCGCCCGCCACGGCCGACGACGTCGTCGGTGCGGCGGTGCCTCAGCCCTGTCTGCTCGTCCCCAGGGCAAGATCACCCGCCTCAACGCGCTTCTCCACGCCGTCATCGAGATCGAGGTCAACTCCGACGCGCTCCAGCAGCCGGCGCGCGCCGACACCGAGCACGCCTCTGGCCACAGCTACTGCGGGCCGCTCCACGGCGTCCCCATCCTCAAGGACAACATCGTGAAGCGCGACCGGCTGAACACGACGGCCGGGTCGTTCGCGCTGCTCGGCTCCGTCGTCTGCCGTGACGCCGGCGTGACGGCCGGCCTCCGCGCCGCCGCTGCCGCCGCCATCATCCTCAGCAAGGCAAACCCCGTCCCGAACGGTTGGAGCGCTAGACGCTGGTAACCCCTATCACCACGCTAAGCTGTCGTTTTATCTCCAGCATCTCGTCTTGTATGCAATGTGTTTGTGAAATTGTCCATAAAGAGCCTCATGTTGTCAATTGACGTGATCTGGTCCAGCCGCGCAGCGCCAGCATGATGCATCATCGTGTCAAACGGGTGGCGGCTTACGCAGGCGCGCATCCCCTGTGCTTTCAGTTTCAGCACCAGCAGCAACCACCTCACCGTGATGGATTCACTGGCTGAATTTGTTCCTGCCAATCAACGGCAGCTAATCATAGTAAGCACTTGTTGAATTTGTTTCTGCCAATCGATGGCAGATTAGTTAGCACTCTATTTCTTTATGCACACCACATGTTCGATACTTTGGGCCAGTGCAAATCATTGGTCTTATTGTTTGAACCGACTCACCGCTGTATACTTCTGTGGATTTAGGCAGCTCCAGTTAGCTACTCACAGGAAGATCATTTTTGCATCTACTAGAAGCTGCAGCATGGACATGATATATTTGCAAGATATGGTGAGCACACTATTTAATAATCCCAAACATCATATTAGTGCTGGCAGTGATTGTCATACTTTTGCTCATGCCATAATTGTTTGGAATGTCAGATTGCATTAGGAGGTGATGAAGTAAGTGTTTCAAACATGCAAATTCATGTCATCATCCACCAGAACTGCCCCCTCGCTACTTTCTCTACCGTATGTACTAGTAATTATTATAGTTATACTCTACTTTAAATTTGATTTCATGCTGGAACTTTCTTAGGAGTAATATGCAACTTGTGACCTGTTTTTGCTAGCATTATTGTTGTTTTGAATGAAGAATTGATGGTTGCAATTGGCAGATTTCTGCTAACCCGTGAATCAGTAATTAAGTTATGAATGGATGCAAATTCTGCTAAATACATAGCTATTTTTATTCAGGATAGAGCTTCGAGCTACGACATGAATAATACTCATGTACATGAATGTACATGTTAATACATACATTAGGATAAATATAATAAAGAACTGCATGATTGGGTAGTGTGAACTAGCCTAGCAAAATGCTTGTGTTTCCTATTTTGTCCTAAGAGGAGTTCTGATTTCAGTTCTGTTTTTTAAATCGTTTGGTGGAAAATCTGTCAGTTTTTTTATAAAAAGATATGTGGAATGATGTAGACACTCCCAGTCTTATATACGGTCCTCATCAAGGTTGTTCAAGTTGCTTAGGATTTTATTCATTCATCCTTATGTTTTTTTTTGTCTAGGAGCAACATCTTTGTACCATGATCTAAGCTGTCAACGTAGTATGATCAGCCATCTGTGGCCTTTCAATTATTCTAATTATGCATGTGACAAGATTGTCATTTTTTTTATTCAATTCAGCGATCTCCAAGGTTGCATGTAAGCTTTGTCCACTAGATCATGGATCCAACACAAGCCTCCAGGTGCTGTTAACCTCATCTCCACATATTTAGCAACAAACTTTGTGTGAGTTAAAGATCAAATTGTACAGTCAAACATATTTACTTGTGGTTATTAAATTTTTAACACACCTAAATTACCTTTACTTTCTATTTCAACACAGAAAACTATGGATTTAAATGCTAGTAAACAGCCAATGCTTTTCTACAGACCATTTATGAGCATTTTTGGTAGAATAAAGGAGTTTTCCGATCCAATGGCCATTTAAGAATTGTGTGAATTAGTGATTATTACAGCAGAAGTGCGTGGTCATTGAGTATGTTTATTAAAATTCTTTGAAGTGGTGGAATTTAATTACACTGCCACCACATATTTGTCACTGTTGTTGCTATGGAAAGTACAAATATTCATCTATTTGACATCAACTGTTTATTTTCAGGCCCATTCTTTGGTTGTCAAGGTGGTAAATACAAGTAAAGGCTTGTTTTGATAACCTCTCTTGCAGGATTTATTTTCAATTTGTTCAAGGCTGTTGGTATTGCACCGAGGAAATTTATTACCTTCTTTTTTTTTCACCTTGAAATGTCATATTGATAACCCAAGTAATCATGTCATCAACTCATATGTGATATTTGGAGTGCCTTGGAGTGTATTGCTTTGAAAGCAATTTGAATATCAACAGAGATTGTACAATGTTGCTTTCTACTCTGCTAGTGGAGGGTATTTGTTAATTAAGTCCATTGTTGATGGATGATTATTTGATTTTTGCCCATGATAATGGATTAAACTTAGATCAACATGCTATCTGCAATATATTTATCTGACTACATATGGAAATTCTTGTATACTAAACAATGTTATGAAGTCCAAAATAATTTACAGTTGAGAACTGCACAAGTCCAAGGGAACTTTAGTCTGGTCTATTATAGAAAAATGGCAAAAGCAGAGGTGATTAAAATGAGAGGTATGAGAGAAAATAAAAGAGTATTAGAAATTTTAAGTAAACAATGCAATGGAAAGTAAACGGTTGATGTAAATCTCCGAACAAACGAATACAATACACATTTGAGTTAGTTTGCTATATGGTTAGCAGTTTTCCTTTTTTTTTTGTATATATATTTGGAGACATGTCGCAAATCAGAGTAAAAAAACACAAAGTAAAATTACCACAACCTAATATGCGCTTTCCAGGTGCCACTGGATTGCGATGCTTGCGATATACTCCCTCCGTTTCAAAATGTTTGACACCGACTTTTCAGTACGTGTTTGACCATTCGTCTTATTCGAAAAATTTAAGTAATTATTTATTCTTTTCATATCATTTGATTCATTGTTAAATATACTTTCATGTACACATATAGTTTTACATATTTCATAAATTTTTTTAATAAGACGAACGGTCAAACATGTGCTAAAAAGTCAACGGTGTCAAACATTTTGAAACGGAGGGAGTACATGTTTGAGCCCAGATATTATTATTATTCTTTCAAAAAAAATCTTGGACAACAGTTGATAATGTGATTACGAGGTTCGCTGAATTGGCCACTAGTTTGGATGGCGCAAACAATAAGTAAAATCATCTACATGCACCTAGCAACACCAAGGCACACTTGCCTACTTGGTTGATCGAGAATTGCATATACCAAAGGTCTAGAGTTCAACTCCCTCCACAAGCAGCACTTTTTTACCATATATTTGTTCGTTGTCTCAGCATTCATAACATTGTGTTACTATAGGCGTCAGTAACATATATGTAGGTGTATATTTGTTCGTTGTCTCAGCATTCATAATATTGTGTTACTATAGGCGTCAGTAACATATATGTAGGTGTTACTGTATGCAGTTCATGTGTAACATAACTCATATGTGTTACCAAGAAGACTGTAACACATAGCTTTGTGTTGCTATTGAACTTTCTTGTAACACATGTCATAAAGTGTTACAAAATTATGTTACAATATGTAGGTCCTGGCGTAGTGTAAATGCAAAGAAGTACAATGGAGTTATAGTATAGGGGGTTAGGGTTTGCAATAAACAGCATTTAAGAAACACTTAGTTGCTCAAAGCTAAATTTAAAACACGATCCTATAACTATTTAATATTATTAAACAAGGCCGTGAACCCACACGAACCTGCCTTAACCCAAGGTCTACGATGATTCAGACCGAACTGGCAACCCGACCCTGGGCCCCAGCTCGTCCCAAGCCAACCCAGGCCAGCCATTCCACATTTTAGTTATTAAGCAGGTTTTAAGAATTGAAAACACTAACTTGGGTACATTGCTAGGCTTGCCCATAACCGAGGGCGCGGCTATTCGAATAGGTTTTACTCTGATCAGAGGTGTACATCTTTACCCACAAGACACGTCTTCCTCACGTGCAACCCCGTGCCACATACCACCACGGCATATGGACGGAAGACATGACATAGTTTCCAACCCATCCTAGCCATAGACAAGAGTACCGACCCAACCCCACCTACGACCGGAACCTCCGGGACAGGTAGGCAGGACTGAGCCCCTAGCAGCAGGACACCAGCCCTGTGCCATGACATCTCGACTACCGGGCCGCAGCTCGTGTAGCCTTCATTTGTCCTAGAGATGTCCATCGACCCCTGACTTCGTCCATCTCCATTCGTGTACTTTTGTTTATAACCAGACTGAGCCACAAACTAAGCCTTACCCACTAGACATGTGGAAGTACGGTAGTGCTTTGCAACAGAGGCCCGAAGTCCGGTCCTTATGTGGTCGAGGTGCTACTATCAAAACCATGCACCCCAAGCCCAGCGTAAAACCATTTTGAGAGTTTTGAATAGAGGGAGAGGTGTGCATCCAATTCCACAATAGTCCAACCATTCCATAAAGTCCAAGAGATATGAATGTTCCCAAAGTCTAAAGTTATAAAAACCACCTAATGTTGTCTTATTAATCAGCGAAGCATCTACCTAAATTCATACCAGGGGAACCATGAGTAGAGTGCCCACTAGTAGGGGTTTTGTTTATTCTAGGGTGAACAAGGTAATAATAACAATAGCAATAATAAGGTCATAACAAAGGTAAATAGGCATGGCTAAATAAAACAGTGATAACGCGGGAATTTAAATAAAGTGATAATGCAATAATTTAAATCAAAGTAATTTCATAAAGTGGGATCCAATATGTTCAAAGAATGATGTGACTTGCCTTGCTCGCTTTCCCAAACGTCGGCTTCAACCTCCACGAAGAGCGGATCTTTCGAAGCTGCAGCGTCTACACGACCAACGGAAAAGAAAAGGGCTTTTACTCTAATAAACTCCATATAACAAGCAAGAACAAAGCACAAAAATGGGTTCTTGACTTCTTAAGAAAAAATTAGAGACTTGAACGGTCCAATTCCGAGTTCAAATGGCCAAGTTATGGCCATTTGAAGTTTATATGCTCTTTAAATGAATATTTACGAATTTCTTCATTTAAATTTTAATTAAAAATAAAGGTTTATTGCGTCAGCTGAGGGGAGGGGCGCGCGGACCGGGTCCATGGGAGTGGGGCCCACGCGGCAGCCTCTCGGTCCACGGTGGACCGGGTGCACCCGGGCTCACACCGGCCGGCGCCGTGGGCCCCACGCGTCAGCCGCACCCGAGGGCGCGGGCGGCTGACTGCCGGGCCCCACGCGGTAGCCGCTCGGCGCGCCCGAAGACGGCCACGTCGGCGCGGCCGGCGGGAGACGGCGCGCCCGCGCCCCTATGGTCGCCGGCGGCGGCCATAGGCACGGCGGAGCGGCGGCCGAGAGAGGGGAGGGAAAGGGGGAAACGAGGCGGCGGTCCACGGCTCACCCAAGGTCGACGGCGACGACGGAAAAGGCGACCGGAGCGGAGGAAGGCGGCGGCGCGGCTCGGGTGGACGGGGACGGCGGCGCTCCGGTGGTCGGCGAGCTCGACGAGGGGGTGGACGGGACGGCGGCGATGCGGCGAAGCCGGAGGAGGCGACGCCGGGGCGGGAGACGGTCCCGGCGAGCGAGAAGAGGCGGCCGGAGGTCGTCGGCGACGGAGGAGAGAGAGAGCGACGGCGCGAGCTCGATTCCGGCGAGGAGAAGGCGCGGCAAAGGGTGGAAATGGGCGAAGGAGGTGCGGGGAGGGTTTAAATGGGGTTGGGAGGGGCAGAGGGCGGCCGGGGAAGGAAGGAAACCGGCCGGGAGGTCCGGCCGCCATCAATGGCGCCGGCGAGATTTGCGGGGGCAAATCCGGCCGTTTGAATGCGAGAGAGAGAGAGGGGAAAATGGGGGGAAAGAGGGAGGGGATCACGGGGAGTAATTCCCCCCACTTAAATGCACGCGGGGACGGCGGGATGCGGCGGATTCGGCGGCGGCGGCGGCGCTTGGCGCGGGCGGAGCGGCGGGAGGTCGGGGATGACGGGTGGGCCCCACCCGCCAGCGAGGGTGGCGGGCGGGCCCGCCCGTCAGCGGCGCGCGCGGGGAGGGGCCGAGTGGGCCGCGGGGGAGAGGAGAGAGGGGGAGGGAGATGGGCCGAATTCGGCCCAAGAGAGGAAAGGGGGATTTTTAGGGTTTTTCTTTTTATAAAACCTTTTTAACTTTGTTTATTTCTTAATAATTATTATTTGTGCTCTGAAAATTCCACTAAAATTTATTTACACATTTTAGGCTTTTAGGAAATATACAAAAATCCTCCAAGCCTTAATTGACTTTTAACTTTGCACATTTTAATTTTTGAAGGCTTTCACAAGGATTTTAATTATTCTAGGCATAATTTAAAGGGTATATTTTAGGGTCATTTTGGGACGCGACAATTACGCTTCGTAGCGGCCCGAACCTGTATAATCTCGGTGCTAGTGTGCAGTTCAGTAGAGTCCAGGGCGGATACACCATCTCCTTGAGCGAGCCTCTTCCCCCGGCCGAACTCACAAAGGGGGGTCTCACGATCTCCCGCTAGAGAGGATCACTCCTCGACAGATTCGAAGAACGGAGTATGCATCGGCTGCGAAGGCATCGGCTGGAGTCTGCATTGACTGAGATGGATCGGACAGAGGGTAGCCGATACAGCCGATAGAGGTGATGCAGCCGATTCTGATGATGATGACTTTGAAGATGCTTCTAGAATTGATCAAGGTACTTCACGAGGATTGCCGTGATGGAGATAAAGCTCTCGGATAGGCAATTGTATCTATTAATTAGGATATTTCATGTAATTTCCTTAGAGATATGTTTGGGCAAAAGTATGCCGCAAAGACTTATGGTATCTTAGAGTTTGTTAGAGATAAATATCGTGTCCGGCAAGGACATATCTTGTATCTCGGGTATAAATAGAACCCAAACCCATATAATCAATTAACACACGTTCAATACAATCTCGGCGCATCGCCACCCTTTTACTTTTGTTTCATCTCGACGAGTTCTTGCTTTCGGGTTGAGCTGCATTGTTTCGATCTTCAACTAGAGGTAAACTTGTCATGATGGCTTGCGTTCTCGGGATTAGTGCTTCCATCTTTATGATACTCTAATATTGTTTATATAATTCGTCGAGTTATCACATATCCTATATAATCTTTGACAATATTATTATCTAACCTTTAATCGGCCAACATCTATCGTTGTAAGGCAGCCGATTAGGTTTGACGGAGCTCGTGGCTCCTCACCGGGAGACCGCGCAGGCCCCCCTTTGCCAGTTCGGCCGGGGGCTTAGGGTGAGATCTCAAGCTCTCT